CCGGTACCGGCCTATCTGAATCGGTGGACCAGCCGAAACCCTTCGGCTCTGATACACTTTTTTGCATCAACTCTGATTAGCCACTTGTTTGGCATCAAGCTCTGATGCCTCTGAACCACTTGTTGGGCCCTTTCAATCATTAGAGCAGCCCTTTCAATCAATTAAGAGAAAATTAACGCAGCGGAAAAATAAACTTGTGACACACAGAAATTTACGTGGTTCACCTTAACTGTTTAGGGCTATGCCTGCGGGACAAACTCCGAATCATTCTTCCACTATTAAAAAATAGTAGGTACACAACGAGAGTAATATAAAAATAGTGGCACTCAAAGTGTTTTTCAAAAACACCTCATAATAATTTCCTCCCAATTTTTTCCTCCCCTAGGTTTAGGAAACCCTTCCTAAAACTAGATAAATCTCTCTAATTTTTTTTTCTTCTTTTTGCTGTTGTGTTTTGCTTGAGGCTTCGCTATCTCTATTTATAGTAGAGGTTACAAGAATGCCATATATAACTCATTCACGGCTCTCCATTTTGTCAAAAGAATTCCATGCCTTGTTAGACTTTTCCTTTTCTTTTTTTTTTATTTCTTCAAAGAACATATTTTCCTTTTTTTTATTTTTTAAAGCGTGTGGGTCCCACATGTCGGAGAGACCCACAACATCTTTACATTAGCATAAAATTTTTGTAGCATCAATAGTCTAGTTTCTATCAGTTAATGTTATATTCTTTTATGAAAATGAAAGCAGATCCAATTTGCAAGTGGAAGAGAAATTGTTCAGTATATATTGTATTAATTTTTGAATAAAATTATATATATCTCAATGGCCAATATTTTAATATTAAGTTATAACAAATGATTGACATTTATTACAAATTGGTGAGAGGCATTGCTGTCTAAGATAGTTGATTAGAACAAGGATTGCTACTAAAATAAGAGGTATGAATTCCCTGCAGCTCGCACTATGTACAGACAGCGTGAGCATTTTCCAAAACGACAGGAATATTCTCGGTGTCGGTGGAGTGGCAATAGACGGCTGTGATTTTGCGTGTTTCAACGGTTTTAGACTGCAAAGCCGTGGGCTTGAGCTTGACGATTGAGGACAAGGTTTCGGGCACCGACCTAGCAAGGTGCATCAATTATAGTAGGGTAAATTATTATAAAGACCATTATATTTGACAAAATTACCATTTTGATCATAATGAATAATTACTATAAAATCCCTAACATTTGCGGTCATGTAATTATAAAATCTTTCCTTCAAAACCATTCTTTCTACCATTAAATAGTAAATACCATGTAATATTTAATTATTTAGTCATTCATATTAATATTATTATTTACTTCTTCACATAACATTACTATTTAATCTTTTATTTAATGGCAAAAATGGTAATTTTTAAATATAATAATTAACGAGTGTAACTAGTTTGAAATTAGAAATGAAATGACAATTAGACAAAATTTAAGGATAAAAAATAATTTGCCATTACAACATGACATATCCCTTATAATAGGTACTTATTTTATTATTTATTTTCTTACCTGTTCATGCATTGCTACATATTACTAATTAAATTTTAATTCAATTTGCATACAAGTGGTGAATGAATCTTTCAAATAAAGATTAAAAAAAATTCTTATTCTAGTGACAAAAATGAAAATATTGTTTCAAATTTATTATATTATTAGAATAATATCATTTTAGAAGAATTTTTCCATTAATAAATATAAATGCTTTTTATGACAAATGTTTAGGGGCTAGGACTTTTATATTGATTAGTTATATGCGCGTGTGTTATCCAGAATGTGCAATTTTATTCTATTATTATTACAAAATCTATGAATTTAATATTTGTATTTTTATCATTACATTCATAAATCCTGAGACATAAATTTTAATTACTTATATATACTAAATAAATTTAATAATTAATCATCCTATAATAACTTCTATTTTTCAAATTCACTTTATAAATTTATAATATTATAATGAAAATGAATTTTTATTAATGAATTATTAAATAATATTTTTAATTATTTTAATTATTAAAAAATTAGAAATAAATAATATTATTAATGATATTAATATTAATATTAACTCATTAATATCTAAATTGAAAAATCATTAAAAAGAAATACCAAAATATTCATATTCACTTTACAAATTTCTAACAGTATAAGAAAAATGATTATAAAATTTTTTTAATGATTATATTGTTAATTTTACTAATCATCAGAAAAAAAGAAACTGAAAAAGTTTTATTATTTGAAATGAAATTAATGGTACTATTAATTACTTACTTAGTCATTGAAAAAAAAACTGAAAAATATTTATTATTATTAAATTAAAAATTCAAAATTTTTATTATTTTAAAATAATATTACTTATTTAGTTAATTATTAAAAATAAAAGAAGAATATTTAATATTATTAATAATTTTAAGATTAATATTAACTCAATTAATGTAACACCCGCCGCCCAGTCCCGAGAGACCCGAGAGAAAGAATATGTTATATTATTAATAATTTAAGATTAATATTACCGGTCAATTAATGTAATCCCCCTCGCCACAGATTCCGAGAGACCGACGGCGGATGCCACATTTGGTGCCGGAGGACAACCGTCCTTAACTTAACATATAAATCATAAACTAAAAATTTAATAATTAGAAGTACTGGGAGTAGTCACACAGTTTCACGAGTAAATTTTTTTTTTTATAATAGTCTGTTTCTTTCCTTTTCTTATCTTTTAATATATATAAACATCGGGAAAAAAAAAATCCTACAGAAATACTGTAAGAATATCCCTATAAAAACTGAGCTCGCCAAACATGTGAATACAAAATACTCTCAATTAAACTCTAAACTTTCAACATCTCCAAGTACTCATTATAACATAACAACACCTTTATATTTTTATAACTGAATAAATCCTCAATAGTATTTTAGATCCATCAATTAATTGCATTTATTATATATATCAAGTCTTAATGAACTAATCATATCAACTGACTTCAAATATTTCATATTCAATCATTTAACAAATCTTATTCTTATCTCCAAATAAATTATACACCAAAATAATTTATAATTACATACTTCAATTATATTTCAAATAACATAATATCTAAAAATGTAACAATTATATCATTCTTCATTATATAAATCTCAATCGACACTACCAAATTAGTCACGTCTGTCTTCAAAATCTCAATACAAACCAGACTTAACCACCGTGATAAAAAATCGATCGCTGAGGAAAAAACGGTGCTATAATTCACAACTTACCAAAGTTGCGGATGAACTTCCTTAAACACAAATTCGAAAATATCATAAATCATAAAAATCATAAAAAAATATTTCAACATACAAGAAAAGTATGTGACTAGAGAATACATTACTTAAATCTTATACGCCTAGTAATGATCTGATGACTTTGGACCTTATGGTCATATGTAAGATGAATAAATTCAACGAGATTAGTCTTTAGGTTTAAAGTATTGATGAATCTAATTTATGTAAGTATAAATAAGATTGTTAAGAAGATCTACTATCCAAGAAAAAAGTAAACACTCCGATAAAAAAATAAAAATAATATTACTAAAATATTGCCCTGATGTTAAGTGAAATATTGAATGACATCGGAGACATGCTATTGAATTGATGTTAACAAAAAAAAAAAAAAATTTTAGATAAGTAAGAATGGATCTAGTTATGTTATTTAGTTATGTTATTTATGAATATTAAGAAAAAAAAAATCCATGACAGAAATGTGAAGGAATATGAATTAGTATGATCTAAAAGAGATGATAGTCAATATGTAGAGTTTTTAACAAATTAGGAATCATTGATTATTCAATCATGTATAGAATATACGGATAGTAAGTGCTACCTGATTAAGGAAGAATAAACTAAATCGGAAAAATATTATGAGATTCGTAATTGCTAAATTCAAGTGAATTTCGAGGACGAATTCTTACAGGGTAGAACTGTAAACGCCCCATTTTTCTGTCTGAATAGTAATTTTATCGTCTTGAATCATATCATCGTCCGGGGATAATATATTTTTCCGGAAAATAACTATTATGTTAATATTTCTTTAATTATTATGAGTAGTAACATGATTTTTAGGTAGAAAGAAGTTAATGAATATTTTAGAGGAAATTTAAAAATTATGAATAGTTAATTAGGAGTATATTAATTAATCAATATTAAGGCAATAATGTATGGAGTAAATTGTAAAGTTATATTAATTAAGAATTAATGCAATATTTTTAGAGTAAATTTGAATTTATTCGGATTATGTTTTAAAAATAATATTTTGAAAGATTTAATTTGGAGGAAGAAGGAGATACCAACTCCAAAAGAAGAAGAAAGAATGGTGCTCAAATATTAGCACAAGTATTATCTTTCTCATAATTGGGATTACAGGATGAGTCATTGAATCTAATGGCTACAAATATCCCAAATTAAATCTTTCAAAATATATTTAACACAATAAAAATCCACAATAAATCCTCAAATTACTCCATAAAAAAAAAATTATCTAATTCCTTAATTAAAAACACCATTCATTACTCCAAACACATATTGCTCTAATTTTCTATTAAATCACCTAATTAACTATTACCCATAAAAATAATGTATACATACTCCAGAAATATTAAAGAAAATATTAAACATACATAGTAATTTTTCCGGACAAAAATAATATTTATTCCCGGACCTATGATACTATTCACAGACCGATAACTTACTATTTCAGACACAGAAAAATGGGGCGTTACAATTAATGTCCAAAAAAAAAAAAAAAACAAAAAATAACATTTTTTTGAAAAATAATGTAATTATTAATTAATTATATCTATATATTTAATTTGCATGTTTGGTGGCATCCATTATTTTGGTGAAAAGGACATAAAATAAAAGAAAATATAATGTAATAAATTCGCAAAGAGAAGAGAACATGTGATACTTCTACGAGGACGACCCCACCATAAACTTTCACTTCTGCGAGAACCGAGATTTAACAGTATTTTAAAATGGAAAATATTATAATCACGTCACCAAGTATCAAAAGCAAGCAGCAACTCGAAAATCACGCTGTCTTTCTTTCCTCTTTCAATCTCTTACTCGATCAATCGGTTTTGGTTTCTGTTTCGTAATCATCTAAAATGAATTCGAATCATCTCCTTCTTGAGGAGCCCATACGGATGGCTTCAATCTTGGAACCATCAAAATCAGTAAGTTTGTTCCAGAGGTTGAACACTACCGTTTTAGTTTGATCTCTCGTCTTTTGTTTTTTCTTTTAATTTTTGAAAATGATAAGTTGATTTGCGTTTGGTTGCTAAGAAAATGCGGGAAAGTTTAAAATGTCATTTTTAAGTGTTCTTCAGTTACTTGTGTATGCTGCTATTGTTTGATCGAGGAAGGTTGACTTTTTTCCTTATTTGCATCAAACTTTCATTTTCTTGATTTTCTTCCTCCTTTTTTCTATGTGAAAATGGTTCATTTACGATATTTTCTGATTCTCATTGATTTGTTTGCTTTCCGAGAAAATCTTAGGAATTTTATGAATTTTAGTTATATACCGTTGTTTTTTTCCCTCCTAATTCTTTTTTACCATAAGTTTTTTATTTTCTTAGCATTTAGTCAAAATGTGGATTCTATGATATTGATCTGTCTTTGGAACTATGATCATGGTCAAATTAATTGGGTTTCTGTTTTTTGATTTTTGGTTGAATATATTTTTCAGACTTTCTTTCCTGCAATGACAAAGATCGTCGGGACACTTGGTCCAAAATCACGGACTGTTGACATCATTTCTGGTTGCTTGAATGCTGGGATGTCTGGTATTTTCCAAATCTTATCTAAAATTGACAATTCTTTCACTATTTTTTTTTTCTCCTTAACTTTATTTTTATAATTTTAGTGAGATATGAAAGTAGAATTTGTATCAGGATCAGTACTTTGCAAGTTTCAGTTCACTCGAGACCTGCATATTGAAATACTTTAGAGTAGGGCGAGCTTCCGGTTACTGAACTGATCCGAACAATCTCGGTCCAACCGGAATGTATTTTTGTGGTAATCGAATCTAGAACTGAATGGTATAAAAACCAAATCTAAACCGAATTAATTCGATTCTGATTCAGTTATTCGAAAATCAATTAGCTATATCCGATTTAAAAATAAATTTGATTAGTTATGTATGGTAATCGAACCAAAACCAAAAACCAAATGGTTTTCTATATCCAAACCAATTGGTATCTGAATTACTAAAATAACTATCCGAATCCGACTGAAATCAGTCGGTTATAAACTGAATATTGCTCACCCCCACTTTAGATAAACTTCTTAGTTTATCTTTGGTAAAAAAATAAGAAAGAAAAGGAATAAATTCCAGATTACATTTTGGACTTATTTACCTCTGAAATGCTTTCAGGTTGATTCTCGATTTTTTTCTTGTATAGTGGCACGGTTTGATTTTTCATGGGGCGATGTGGAATATCACCAGGAGACGTTGGAAAATCTTAAAGCTGCGGTCAAGAGCACCAGGAAGCTCTGTGCAGTAAGCTTGTTCCTGTTCAGTTCAGTATATATATAAAGTTTAAATTATTCCTACTATGAAGCGTGAATATAAAGACACTACTGGAAATTAGGACAGTGTTTGGTTGTTCTACACATATCATATATATGTCACATGCTATATTTTCCCGTTAAAGTTGTACAATATTCTTTAGGTGTGACAGATAATAATTTAGCAACATAGTTTGAATACACGGTGATTATATTCCTTTTACATTTAATTGAAGTCTGTGTCTCTCTGGTTCATCTACAACAATTATTAAGAAGTTTGAAATGCTTCTTTATTGTCAAAATTATTTTTCAAAGTTTTTTACGTTTAAAGATTGTGAGTGCAGCTTGTAAACTATCCCAGAAATTATTGCATTTGAAAAAGTAAAGTTCTCTTTAAAGAAAATTTTATGCATTCCCTAACTAGACCTGCATTTCTACTTAGTTGCTGTCATTATGCATCCACTTATCTTTCTGTCATTATTTATAATTATTTTTCTGGCTTTTATACCAGATCATGCTAGATACAGTGGGTCCAGAGTTGCAAGTAGTCAATAGAACTGAGCATCCAATTTCCCTTCAAGCAGATGCCTCTGTTGTCCTAACACCAGATCAAGACAAAGAAGCCTCTTCAAATCTGCTACCAATAAATTTTACTGGTTTATCAAAGGTAAAAGTCTTTATACTTCTACTTTTGTTTTGTGTTTTCTTTTTTCTCTCTCCATAGAGTTTATTTCTACTGATCTGTTTTCAATCCCCCGCCTCTCTTTCTCTCTCTTCGCCACTTTTACTCCTTAGTCAAGTACATGATTTTATTGTATACAGTAAACTATGATGGACCCCCCACCTCCAACCCCTGCCATAAATGAAGTTCAATATGGTTTTTGCAGGCAGTGAAGAAAGGAGATACTATTTTTATTGGTCAGTATCTGTTCACAGGAAGTGAAACTACTTCTGTGTGGCTAGAGGTAAGACCACATTTGTGTATATGAGTTCAATTCCAAACGGCTCGTTTGGTATGAAGGTTGTTTTTTATTTTTAGTTGTTCTTTCTCAAGTTTAGAAGAAATTTATTATTGAAGTATTTTTATTTTTATAAGTTGATCTTTCAAAACAAAAAAGCAGGTCGTCACAATAAGAGGAAAACATAAAAAGTGGTTTTCCTTTTTTCATCAACCTTTTTTTTCTAAGTTGTAAACTTTAAGTATAGTAAAATAGAAATAAAAAACTAGAAACATAAATGATACCAAAAGAGAGCTAAGAGATTGCTAAAATTTGTTACTTTTTGCTGAACGGTCATAATGTTTGATTTTAATTTGGTTGAGCATTCAAATCATCTACTTCTCTTCTTAGATGCATCTATCACATTTCTAGAATGAGAAAATGACTCCTTGACTTGCTAGTTGCCTGATCATTTAACGTAAACCAGGGAACCTTTGCTTGAAAAAATAGCTCTCTAATTTTCAACTTCAAATGATCAGTCTTGCAAATATGATCTATACATCCATCTCATGAAGTTTCAATTGATGTTGCAGGTCACTGAAGTAAATGGCGAAGATGTGGTTTGCCTGATAAAAAATTCTGCTACCTTGGGAGGTCCACTCTATACTCTGCATGTCTCTCAAATTCGCATCAATCTGCCCACTCTCACGGATAAAGATAAGGAGGTCGGTGTTCATGCTTATTTAGATATTTTGAGTGGTTGATATTATTGGTGGTCTTAACGTGTTTATATTTCTTATTTCCTTAGCATTCACTGATTTCAATTTTCCTAAGTTTCTTTCTGGTTTGAGGATTGTGCTTCTTATATGAAATGTTTTGCCAAGGGACAACTTTAGTCTCACCAGTTGTATTCAGTGTAAATAAACTGCATAGCTTCATCAGTTTTATCTTATTTTACATTTAGTTCTTGTATCCACTGCAAAGAGGATATCCTCCACTTTGATTTCTTTGTTGTTCAGTACTATCTTCTTTTGGCTGGAAAAAGAATTGTTGCATTATTTAGTAAACATCAATTTGAGGTCTTCTTATGATTCATTTAATAGGTTGTGAACCTCATGCATTGTACAGAAAGCTGTAATAATTGTTGGTGCCACTACCAACTATATGTAAAGTATTAGCAAGATACTCTTCTATTCCTGAAAACTGCAATTTTCACTGTATGCCTACTTTCACGCTAAATTTCTTTGATGACATTTAGATCATCATTGATAATTGATCCTTGTCAGGTTATAAGCTCATGGGGTGTTCGGAACAATATAGACATCCTCTCATTGTCATATACCAGGCATGCTGAAGATGTCCGCCATGTAAGATTTTCCTGTTAGCCAAGCTCTCTTGTATTTTATTTTCTTACTTGATTATTTAAACCCCTCCTTTTCTTCGGTCTTTTACATCCATACTCTTTGTCTATCTTTGCTCTTCATATCAGTTTCTAGCTTCGCTAAAAGATTATTATAATCGAGGATTTGCTTTGATATGTAATTTTCTTCTTAATTTTCTTTATAATCCTATAGTGGCTGCTCATGTTATTACACAGGCCCGGGAATTTCTTTCCAAACTAGGGGACCTCCATCAAACTCAAATATTTGCGAAGATTGAAAATATAGAGGTGAATTATACATTTCCAGCTTTAACATGCCATTTTGGTGTTGTACTTACACTCAAATATCATTTTCAATTCCTATTTACAACCAAGATTTCTTGTTTTATATCATCCATGCTTGTAGGGATTAACTCATTTTGATGAGATCCTGCAAGAAGCAGATGGCATCATCCTTTCTCGTGGAAATTTGGGCATAGATCTCCCACCAGAGAAGGTTATCATTCAGATCTGAGCAATAATTACATAACTACATATGCATACAGTTTTGAGTTACAAGGATTACGTATTAACATTGCCAAAGGTTACATATGAGTGTGAAGGGCTTTAAAGCTGTCACAATAATACAACATTGCATGAACATCCCCCTCACCCCAAGAAACTCAGAAAGTCCCCTGATTTTTTTTTTTTTTTTCGGATCTGTGTCAATATACATTTCTTATTATGTTTATTGTCAAATATGACATAACTTTTCAATGAAAAAAAGAAGAGTTACATTTTTTTTTTTTTTTCGGATCTGTGTCAATATACATTTCTTATTATGTTTATTGTCAAATATGACATAACTTTTCAATGAAAAAAAGAAGAGTTACATGCAGTACAAGTTGTATTTTCCCATTACGCCAAGCTACCAACAAGGATATTTATAGTTGGAAGTTCTCCTTTTTCTAAAAGAAGGTTTTTGCATTTTGAGAAAAAAAGTGTCCAGACGCGTTATGGTCTGAAATGAAACTCCTATATATGTTACAGGTGTTTCTATTTCAAAAAGCTGCTGTTTACAAGTGCAACATGGCTGGAAAGCCTGCTGTGGTTACTCGTGTTGTGGACAGTATGACAGACAATTTGAGACCTACTCGTGCAGAAGCAACTGATGTTGCCAATGCAGTATTGGATGGTAAATTTCAGTGGTCCAACATTGTGATGCCTTGGGTAACTTTTTAGTTGGAGTTTTGTCATGTTTGCTTTGTGGGCTGTGTTACAATATCTTCCACATGATAAGAAATGTTACTATATTGCTTATGACTATTCTAATTTTGAATTTCATTATAATTATACGTTATATGCAAACTAACATCACATAACAAAATTCAATTTTTCTGTTGCTCCAGGTAGTGATGCAATTCTTCTAGGTGCAGAGACCTTGCGGGGACTGTACCCTGTTGAGACCATTTCTATCGTTGGAAGAATATGTGCTGAGGTAGATTTTTCTGTTGCTATACTAAATTTTAACTTTATTAGCTTTCTTATGTTTTCTCTAGGTGGTCGAAGCCATCCACGCCCACGGTCCTCTCACCCTTTAACACATACTGACAAACACAAAGCAAAAGGGCTCTAATCCAAATGTTTTGGATTGTTATAGAAATTTTCTCCTTCCATGCCTTGTGCAAATATATTTATTAGTCTTCAGGCATAATGAAATGCGGGCCAAAACTGACCTGCTTTGCCTTATTTGCATGTGTTAGACTTTTATTTTATGGCCAGCAAGCTGGCCAGCTATTGAAGCTTCTGTCCATTATGATTTTATCCTGGGCTCGGTTCATAAGAAGAAAATGTCTGACCATTTTACCCTGGCCCTAGATGATTGAATAGTTTTCAGTTTGACCAAAAAAAAAAAAAAAAACAGTTGACCAAAAAATAAAATAAAAAAACAAGATAGAAGAGTAAAATAGTTTCCAATTTTATTTTCCACAAGAAAATGTTGTAAATATGATTGATAATTGAGTCCGTTGTCTGAGTTGAGCGTGAGACTAGTAAATTCCCACACAACAACACACAGTACTTGTAAAAAAAAAAAAAAAAAACAAGAAGAAGAGTAAATAGTTTCAATTTGTATTTCTTCACAAGAAAATGTTGTAAATATGATTGATAATTGAGTCCTTGGCATTGAGGGAGACTAAGAATCCACCAACTACTTAGGCTAGGTACTGTTGTCACATCTATTTCTTGCCATTTTTAATTGTTACTAGGCACAAAAAGTTAGTCCAATCTGGTGACTTCAGGCTGGAGAGGGTCCTGGAAAGTGGTCATGACATTGGGGCATGGACATGGAGCCAGACTTTATTTGATCTGCTCAATCATAAGGTTTGGTTGGCTTTGGTTGGGTATCATAATTGATGGTCAGGGTAAAAAGAAAAAAATGGATTTACAGATTTCCTGGATATTGAGCCACATTCTGTTAGTTCAAAATATATTTTATTCTATTTTTTTAGTGGAAACTAAATTTCCATCTGCAGGCAGAGAAAGTTTTCAATCAAGATCTGTATTTCAAAAAGGCTACCAAATATGTTGGGGAACCAATGACCCATTTAGAATCAATTGCTTCCTCAGCGGTACTCTTTTAATACTAAATTTTCTCTTTTATGCTTGTTTTATTCATTGCTGGCATGAAAATATTATTTGTTTCACTATATTATATTATTCTCTTATTCCTTTGCTGGTAATCTAGGTACGTGCAGCTATCAAGGTGAAGGCTTCTGTTATTATCTGCTTCACTTCAACGGGAAAAGCTGCTAGGTTTTCTATTTTCACAATTATTTTTATTATCTTTTTCTTGTTATAATTTTTGCACAAATGCAAATGCAGTAGGAATTCAAGTTTGAGTTGATTTTTGATTGAGAACAAGTTTCTTTTCTTTTCTTAAAAATAAGGGAAAAAAATAAATTTTTGATTTAGAACCTTGATAATATTCCAATACTTTATTTCAATGTAGGTTGATATCAAAGTACCGGCCAACAATGCCTGTGATATCTGTTGTTATCCCTCGACTTAAGACAAATCAACTGCGCTGGACCTTTACAGGTGCTTTTGAGGTATGCTATTGTTTTTTATTAGGCATAGTTTTTTTTTTTTTTTTTTTTTTTTTTTTTTTTTTTTTTTTTTTTTTTTTTTTTTTTATTTTCTTATTTTTTTTTTTTTTTTTATTTTTTTTTGCGCAGCAATTAATCTACTTCGCCATGCCTTTTCTGTATCGAGAAGGCTTGAATACTATACTGAAACCTACCTTTTTTTTTTTTTTTTTTTTTTTTTTTTTTTTTTTTTTTTTTTTTTTTTTTTTTGCTGCAGCAAGTAACTTCGCATGCCTTTTCTTTTTATCGAGGCTTGAATACATTACTGAAACCTACTGAACTAAACTTCAGTCCAAACTCCAGAACTGGTTGGGTTGGCTGCATGTTGATCATGATTGAATTTGAAGCTCATTTTTCCTCTTTGTTCCCCCTTGATGATTTTGTGGCAGGCAAGGCAGTCACTCATTGTCAGTGGACTTTTTCCCATCCTTGCAGACCCACAGCATGCGGTAAGTGTTAGTTTAACTTTTAAGTGATTTTTTGTTTCCCTTTCAATTCCCACTTCTTTTCATCTTCATACTTTCAATGAGTAGTAAAAGCTATGATGGAATTTTGGCCATCAGATCCATCATTTCGTGGAATTTTTCTTCCGGAAACACCTTGGCATAACCTTATTTTTGTAATCTCAAGTATTTAGCTAAAACTTAAGTGTTTGATTTCCATGTTAATTTTCATGGGGTTCAAATTCTAAAATTTATCTTGTCAAAATAGTTTTGAACCTTACAATTGTAGTGCTGGAATTCTCATAATTCAAATCACTGGGCTGTTTCCATGGGGATCTTATTCTTAGTGCTTGGTGCTCTTGACATTCAAATTGAACCCATTGAATGATGAAATTACTTAAGAAATGCATACTACTTGGTTTTGACAGGCTGAATCCACGAATGCAACAAATGAATCAGTTCTGAAGGTTGCTTTAGATCACGGCAAGGCAATTGGTGCTATAAAGCCACACGATCGAATTGTTGTTTGCCAGAAGGTTGGCGATTCATCTGTGGTAAAGATCCTTGAGCTCGAAGATTAATCAAAGCTAATAGTTATCATTCTAGCTTTTGCCCGCAACTTCTCATGGTACAGCACTAAATAAGGTGAAGTTGGAACTTCTTACAGAAGAAAGGATGGAAGGCTTTTGCGTACCTTCATTGCTGTTTTGCTTCCTTCATGTTTTACTCTCTCTTTCATGCAAGAGTGTAAATTGTGCTTTAAGAATCAAAGATTATTGATAAACTAATGAAAAGGAATAAATTAATTTGCACAATCGGGAGGATCCGAACTCGAAATTTCTCACTCTTCACGTAAGTGAGAAGACGAATCAGACTACCACCTGATTGGCTGTGGGGATATATGATTAGTATATCATAAAACACGAACATAAATACGAAATATTTTGGATATATGTCAACAATGTTCTTTTTGTTTTTCTATATAACTCTTTTAGAAAATCAAAATAATATTAGTTATTTTAATTTTACTCTTATGTAGATATTATATTAAAAAAATTTTAATTAATTGAGGATTAGTTAAAGGATATTTAGTTAATTACTCTTATTTTAAAAAAATATATATATATCAAGGACTCGATCATTTTCTTAATTTATACAAAGTCAAATTGTCAAATTTAACAGAAACGGAAAACATTAATCATGATTTGTATGTATTGAAGATAGATAGTTACCTTATCAAGTTAGTTAATGTTAGGCGCTGTAATTAATGTATTTAGATTAGATTACAATTGTTAGTTTAAGGTATTTTACAAGGAGACGAAAACGTAAGAATAAGGAGATTGAAAATAATAAACTATATTTATCCGTATTTCTACTCGCTCTTTCCTCTTCAAATCCAGCAAAAATATCATCAAGAGAAGTTGCTAATTATGTGTTAAAGATGCGTATAAATTATAAATTATAGTTCATATATCCAAAAATGATGTTTGTTGTCCATGTTCAAAGTATTTAAGTTATATCTATGTGCAAGGTGTTTTTTAAGAAGAAAAAGAATAAAAGGAATAAATTGTAAGGATATTGGAAATAGTAAATTTTAATTATCCATATTCTTACACTCTTTCCTCTCCAGTTATCTATCAATTTCTAACAAGTATTAGAGCCTTTTAAAGTTAACAATTGGTACCAGAGTATCTAAAAGTTAACAAGTTCTACCAGAGCTTCTATTCTACCATTCTTCTGCCCTGTATGCAGCCTCCAAATGGTTGCTTCCGATCACCCTATTGTGTCAAAGTGCCTCTGAGAAACGTAAATCTGCTGGACCAGGACCCAGGATTCCCTTCTGTTCACTTATCTTGCCCAGTCCAAGAGGAGGAGGAGGCGGTGGCGGTTCTGTAGTCTTTTCATCATCTCTCCATACAGTAGTTGCTGCCTGCCACTCTCTCTGCAACACAAATAAGCAATCCAAACAAATCAAAGGGAATAAGATACAAACAATCACCAGGAAGAGGAATTATTTATCAGTTTGTGGTTAGAGAAGAGACCATAATTAGGAAATATAAATATAATAAACACTTAATCATAGAGATAGATCTCTAGGATTTTCCTCATTGTGACAGTAATTTCATTGTAGCCTTTATAAGATTGAAAATACTTACCTCATCATGATTGTAACTTTCTTCTGGCAATAATGGGGATGTAAGAGGTGGAGCAACATCAGGATTGGGCTTTTTAAATATAAATGTAGTATACAGACCTACAAAGGGAAATATGCCAAAATACTGAGACCATGTAAATGAAATGCTGAAGTTGACAATTAAAACAGCATGTCAAAGTAAAAAAGATAAAATTAACACCTAATACATCAAATGATCGAGGAAGAAGCCTCCCTCTGGGATCTACTAGGTTTGGAACAGCATTCATCACCATGCCTGCAAAATGCATTCTTTGAGCATATGAAGATGGGAGATCAGTACTGCTCATCCAACAAAGAGAAAAAGCTCACTTATCATAACAAACATGGACACCAAGAGGGCAAAAAGAAAAAAAAAAATTCAATTAATAGTATAACAATGGAATAGTCTGCATTCAATACCTGTTATCATCATAGAATTCGGTCAAGTTCTGAATTTCCACATACTCTAAACCAGCTTCCCGGGCCAACCTAGTTGCATAATGCAAAGCACGATATTTTTAAGGTCACTAACAAAATATGTAAAAAGTGTAAATTTCTTAAAAAAGAGTAACATTCTTTGCATGTTTTCACAGATAATATTTCAATGAATGTAAATTACACGACCAGACAGACATGAACCTGATCAAGCTTGGAAAATGAACCAAACAATGTGTTTCAGCAGAAATGTCATGAGCAAATTTTAACTGGTATTTCTTCCCAAACAATGGAAACCTGAATCCAATATGACAAGTAAAAATATGCACAAGGTTATCTAAGAAAAAGAAAAAGCATATATTAAGTAGCTATATATACTTCTCTTCCTCAACTTCAAAGGTGATCATGTAGCTTTCTGATCGAATGCAATTAGGAACTATATTTGGCTTCATGCTGCCACTTCTATTGTGGTACGCTTCGACATTCTTTTGGTACTTTGCCCTATGTGATCATTAATGTCAAAATATTATCCACATTTCTCTTTTTCTGGGGTAAAATCTCATGGAACTAATGGTTAGAATAAAATGGAAATTTGAAGCTGAAGAACATTAAGCATTTAGGCATCCACATTGCGAAAGTGCAACAAGAAGTCATGCATAATGGCAAAAAAGAAAGATCTCATATGAAGCTTCCTCAGACATATTAACATTATGGATCATCACAAAACTTCATCTCCTTGCTCTTACATCAAGCTGGATTACAAGGATGAACAGTTAACAGCAGCTCTAAAAATAGTTCATGCGTTTGCGTGTGTGAAATAAAGAATGGGAGGTTATACTTGACAAGTAAAGGCCCATGACTAGTGAATCCATATTCATTATGAAGAAATGCAGACATTATCCTGTTTTAGTACCATATATACATTTGATATCTATGATATGCATGTGACTCATTTAGTAACATATCAAATTGCAAATTGGCACTAACAGAATCAGTGGGGCCAAAAATCGAAATAATTCTAAAAGGAGCACAAATGTAGTACCTCAAGAAACCAAGTAAATAAAAAAAAAGAAGGAAAATAGAAGATCCAAAAACATGTCCTAGACAATCATTATTCATACCATATGGTAGATGAGTCAGGAGTAATACCAAAAAAATAACCCCCCGGTTTAAGCAAAGATGATACATTATGCAGAAGTTTCCTTGCACTTTCCTCAGTCTCAAAACACAGCTGCAAGCAGAATTATAACTAGAGTTAAACAATCTAAAACAGAATATTACATATATATTTAGAAAAAATTCACTATTTTTTAACAGAAATGGTTAGAAGATGTGCTACAAAAACATGTTTAGAACCTGCAAATTCTGTAAACAGCAAACTAAATCAGCCTGGTTGGCCTTTTCCTGCAGCTGCATTTCGAAATTTTCCTGTAAAATCCATTTTTCAAGTTAAACAATGTAGGTTAAACTTAAAATATCCAACCATATGAATTACATCTTAACCTGATTAAAACCCCTGATATCCCACCCTATAGTGTAGTAACTCAGACCATTGAGCTACTAACCCAATGGCAACAAAGTAAAACAAAGCAACTTGAAGGCATTAAAAAGCTAATCACAATAAACATTAAGAATCATTTCTCTTATTGAGCATGAACTTTCAATGTAAACACATATCAATATAATGAATATAAAGACCATGAAACTCACTGAACAAGGATCAGCCTCAAAGAACTCAGTAGTATAACTTTTCCTCTGACTCTCCCAAGCTTCCCTAATCTCATTTATACCAAATGATGATACATCTGCAAAAAGAAAACTCATAAACAATCTTCACCATCACTCTCTTATGGATAGAGAGCTTAGCTACCATACTAAAAAGGAGATGGAACCCAACAACTTATACACAATACCAATTCCTATGTAGTGGCCAAATTGAGCACCATCCCATTTCTCTGCGTCCGCACTTCCTCCACAATACAAATCGCATACCTTCAAAGCCCAAAAATAAAACCCAATTTATAAATAACCACAAGTATATATACATACAAAGATATGAACTTTTGAGAAAGAGAGAGGATAATTAGAGCACAGACAGTGGCATAAGGGTGGACGAAAATCTTGATAAGGGCTGCTTTGGCGAACTCGTAGAGGCGATGGTGAGTCGACTCAGTTCTCGGAATCGCAAATGAGGCGTTCATGGAATTTCCAAAGCTTACTGTCCCAAGTTTCCGGTTTTTGGATTCGATTTGTTACTCCAGGATATAGACGGAGTCTCGGAGAAGAAATTTCAAAGCAGCGGGTCGGGTGAACGTCTTCTTCCGACTTCGGAGCTCACATGATGCTTTTAAGGGGGAAACAAATTATGAGACAAAATTATTATTTAGTTGCTTATAAAAACTAATATTTTTAAAAAATTAGTTTATTAATTTTTCAATTTTATGTTCATCAAGCAAATTAATCCTTTCATAATCTCAAAGAAAAAAAATTAATCCTTTGATACAAATTTAAAATTTTAAAAATAATCATTATTTTATTCGTATATTTTACTAAAATTAACTACTTTTTTATTTTAAAAAATAAAATATTTTATTCTTAATTTCTAAATCGGTTTTATATCCATATTGTGAAAATTTGAAAATACCTTCCCTAAAAAAAAAAAAAAAAAAAAAAAAAAAACTTTTAGACAAAATTTAAATTTTAAAAAAAATAATCATTTATTTTATTCGTTTGTATTTTAACTAATAATTAATCTACTTTTTTACTATTTTAAAAAAATAAATATATTTTATCATTCTAAACTTTTATATCCATATTGTGATAGAATTTGTAAAAATAAGCTCACTTCCCTAAAAAAAAAAAAAAAAAAAAAAAAAAGCTCAGGCTCTTAGTATCACATTTCAATAGTAATACTAAATCATTATTCTAAAATTCAAGTCTTTACAATCCTCCGTTTGACATACTCAAAATATCAAAACTAATACACTATAACAAATAGCATTAAATTCATTAATTTCATAAAAAAAAAAAAAAAAAAAAAAAAAAAAACTAGTCTTAGATCCATTTCAAGTAATATAATCAATTCTAAATTCAGCTTTAAATCTCCGTTGACAATCAAAATTCAAACTAAATTTACTATAAAAATGCTTAAATTCAATAATTTTCATGTGAAATTAAATTAAAATTGTTATCTTAAATTTCAAATATTAATAAATGCTATATTATTCTGCACTATAAATAATGGATTATATAACATAACTCACTTTAATATTTAATGAAACATCAATAAAGTAATTGATAATTAATAAAATAATTAATTTCGTCGAACAAAATAAAATTTTAAATACAAAGCTATTAGAAATAATATTTTGATCTTAATAAAAAAAAAAAGATGAAGGTATCTTTAAGTGTTAAATAAAATCATGTATTTGAAAAACAGAGATAAAATAATTAATTTCAACAAAATAGCATGAATGAAATAGTATTACCCTGAAATAAAAAATCGATGGGAACAAAGTGAAAAGTTTTGGATAAGCAATTATCTACAACACCGTTTTTTTACTTCAGAGCAGGGCACCATTGGAAAGTTCTGCTCTTTCCCCTTCATGCAATGTACTTTGCATTACTGCAACTGTGCAAGTATCAAGCGGCAATTGTGTGAACGATAGCGCCGGTGGGCAGAGAGATGAGCCCGCCACCAGAATCAGAAACCGAGACGTTAGTGGAAGCTGCTTTAAGGGTACTTAACACGGCGGACCCATTTGAGAAGGCCAAGTTAGGTGACTTCATCGCTTCCCGATGGCTGCAAGGAACCATTTCTCAGACCTACCATCATTCTGTGGATCTTCCTGTACCTGATCGTCCCGCCAGGCTCACCAATGTATGCTTAAAGTCTTTTTTTCGTACATGTGCTTGCATTTGTTTTATCTTCATATTATGTTCGATGAAATGCCTGAAGAATCCAAAATTTTGATGCAGGTTAAGTTGCTGGCGCCAGGTTTAATGCCAAAGCTTGGAAAAGCTGGTAGCTTGCAGAGTAGGCAGGCCATTGTGCATAGTCTTGTCCATATTGAAAGTTGGGCTATTGACTTGTCTTGGGTACTTTTTTTTTCCTTGCTTTCTTTTTCTTTTTATTGCAATACTAAATTTGGAGTCAATTTTAGCTCATGATCTTAATTGTTCTCTTAAGTTGTTGCGTTTGATGCTTCCTGGGATGGTAACTAAATGAACACTTAAACTCCATTTGGCAATGTGAGATTATTTTGTCTATTCACCATTTTGCTTTTGCATTTTATTTTTGATTATCTTTACGCCCACACTCTTTTAAGATAAACGTATGCATGTCTCAACTCTTTTAAGTCATGTGCTTGTCCTTCGTGTTACGGCTATGATTTTGTGCAGTCCTTTTCGCATGCAAATAAACACTTTGGGCGTTGTATCATACCCAATATATGTGCAAAAGAGTTGAATCGGGATCTATTGTCTCATGTTGTGTCACCTTCAATTTGAACTAAAATATCGAATTCATGAATAATGTAATGAATCTTGGTGGTGCTTTTGCAGAACATACAAAGAAAAGGAACTTGAAATTCAGCATTTTTTGCAATTGTATAGCAAATTTTTAATTTCAGAAAATTCATAAAGGAGCTTTCTAATTTTTGCTATTCTATCAATGATCCAGGCCTAATTTAATTGAGATTGGATTAGTGATAGAATTGAAAAAAAAAAAAAAAGAAATATTTTTAATGAAATAACCAAATTAAAAGTTTGTGATATAATTTCAAAAAACGCACTATGGTTCAACCTTTTTTTTGGTCGATTGAGGCTTCGTTTTATCTGATGCTACATGTAGCTTTTAAAAAATGAGTATAATTATTTTCTTTTTGTGTTTTATTTGAATACTCAGCGGACTCATGACTTCATTGTAGGATATAATTGCTCGTTTTGGTAAGCAAGAATCAATGCCAAGAGAATTTTTTACAGACTTTGTGAAGGTTGCTCAAGATGAGGGCAGGCACTTCACTCTCCTTGGAAAACGGCTTGAGGAATTAGGTTCTTCTTATGGAGCATTACCAGCTCATGATGGCCTATGGGAGTCTTCTATTGCTACATCTGAGGACCTATTGGCACGTTTAGCAATAGAACATTGTGTTCATGAGGTGCGTGTTTATGCCTTCACTTCAACCCTGCAATATGGGAATTCATGTTTTTTATAAAGCCATGTGGCCAATGGCTGTGTTATAAAAAGGAATATATGTGGTTAAGGTTCAGTTAAGAAAATTATGTTTATCATTGGCATTATGATTTGCTGGTGTTCCTTATCTTGTGGATGTTTGCAATTCATTTATTTGGTGCACCTCTTTGTGCTTTGGAGAAAACATCTAGGCTTTTTATGGGCTACGTTTTGGCAGCTGTACTGCGAAGGAGTTCGTTGGCCTAAGTAGGCTTAGTGCTATAAATTGGATTACAAACTCATATAATTGCTCTCGGACAATACCAGTACTAAGTTTTTTGAATTGATCTAGTTGGAGAAGATAAAATAGATAATAGTTGGTTTAAACTTTCTGGGCCTGGCAACATCTAAATCTTACCTTAATCTATATTATTTGAATATTTCGTGTGTATATCCTTGTTTGATGAATGAGTAGATTAAATGCAGGCGAGGGGAATTGATGTGCTGCCTACTACTATTTCTCGGTTTCGCAATGGAGGTGACAAGGAAACAGCTGATTTACTGGAGAAAGTAATTTACCCTGAAGAGATTACTCATTGTGCTGCTGGAGTCAAGTGGTTTAAATATCTATGTTTGAGGTCTAAAAATCCAGCTATTGGTGACAGCTTAGCATCTCAAGGCAGCTCGGATAGACAAAGTGGAATCACAGTAGAGGAGAATGAAGAGATTATCAAGAAGTTTCATGCTATAGTGAGAACACACTTCAGAGGACCCTTAAAGCCGCCCTTTAACGAGGAAGCAAGGAAGGCTGCAGGATTTGGCCCTCAATGGTATGAACCACTAGCTGTCAAAGACATCAACCCACGGATTAAATGTGGATGGTAACCAATTCTTTTTTCTCATAGAAACTTATTATTAACTATTGAGAACATGAATCATACTGGCATTTGCGTAAGCATACTGAGATGGATTCAATTGCCAGTATTATAATTATGCAATTGTTTTCAAGAACCTGGCTAAACACTTATTGAGAACTTATCTTTCCCAATTAATTTTTTCACCTCGCTATTGGACAGAATCATTTTGTACTTTCATTCCAGCAAAGAACCCATATGCTCATAATCTGCAATTTGTTTCAAGCTGTTTCTTTTAGAGTACATTTGGTTTGTCATGGAAATGGAACGACAATAGAAACAAAAGTCTGGGTTCAACAAATTTTAATTAAATAACATTTTTTTTATTTGTATATGAGTTTTTTTTAAGTAGATATTATTTCAATATAATTATTTTAAATAACAAAATATACTCCCAGATACAACTATCCAAAACATTTTAAATTGCTTGTGAACCAAAAAAGAAATGGACGTCCTACTTCACTAACTATATTTCATTTCCAATTCTAGGATTTAATCAAACACAAGCTAAATTGAAACCAAGCCAGTGTTACTGTCTGATGATGTATCGCACCTGCTTTCTAAGTAATCCCCCAAAAGCAAAAAGGATTTTTGAGCCAGTGGCCTGGTAATGATTTGGTTTAAGTATTAAAGCAATCAGCAAACACATCACAGAACGAAGACATAACAGAAGTATACTCGCAGATCGTCAATGAAGAACAAGCAGTTTAATAATCAAACAGTGTATAATTTACTTTATTTTCTCATACATTATTCTTATTGAGATGAACATGAAATTGCAGCAAGATTTTCAGAGAAACAGTGAAATCTTGCAGGAATTAACACCTGAACCGTCAGTTCTAACTATTAACAGAAATAATTCATCAAATGGCAAAATTTTGTAAAATGGTATGGCACAACCAACTGTAATGGCAAAAGTTATCCCTTGAACAAATTGGCACAGTGCCATGAAAAATTCATAATTAGCTTCCGGATATCCTCAGGATGGCTAATACTGTAAAACCCAATTGTTAGTTCGTTTGCCTCTATAGAAGAAGTCTCCTGATATCACTGAAATTGGAACGCAAAGCTGAGAGAAAAGCACCTGCAAAGAGAATAAATAGCTTTAAACTCAAACAAGGGAACTCCAAATACAACCCTACCACGAATCTAATTATCTCGACTTCCCAAATGTAAGTTTAACTGGCAGACAAGCTCACTATGGTCAACAATTATCCATACTATACCTCTTTCTTTACACAATTGCATCACATTAACATATTCGGATGAAAAATATCCAATTAACTACTGCTAGGGGTATATCAGTTTACCCTGCATTCATGATGATATCCTGATAGAATGATATAATGTAGGTTACCGGTCAAATTAAGCAGGAGACTAGACTCAAGGAATCAAAACCTCAATATTCTCTAGTGATAAACATTCGCATTTTAAAGTCTACCTCCCAATTTTGAATATAAGTAAAATTTACAGCATTCTACAGACCTCCAACTTTGCCATCAAAAACTCGATGATCAGCAGATAAAGTCAAGTTCATTTTGTTGACCACTGCAGGCCTCTCAATCCCTGGTAGAAAGTAAATCCATGTTACCTCATTACTCATTCAAAAACATCTAAAATTACAGGGTAGAGTCTACAAGCATGAGATACTTACCATCACTTCCAAGCAGGGGTTCGACGACCTTGTTCCCTCTACCAACAGCCAGGATGCCAGCCTGAAATTTTGTATAGAAAATTTTTTAACATGGACAGAAAACAATGACAGTCAATTAAGAAAAAAGAAAAAAGAACAATCATAATAATGAAATATCATTATGGTTTTCTTACAGAGATAAAAACACTTGGTCAATGTTATTTTTGGCTTTACAAAAAAAAAAAAAAAAAAAAATTACTTACAAGAGATAAAACACCTTGCTCCACAATTGATTATTTTTGGCTTTACAAAAAAAAAAAAAAAAAAACTTCAATTCAGTGTCCATAAATTGTAACATTCTTATATTTATTTGTGTCTAATATATATCAGGCACTCTTCATTAAATTTGCCAGTTCCTCCCATCACAAACCAGAGGCAAAATTACACGCAAATTTGCTACTCCGACTTTTTGTTGACTTTATGCTATTGGAGCCCAAAAATTATGCTTTGCATGAAATATTTTTATTATATTAAGTTTTCACAAGATGTACAACAAAGGAAAAGTTAACCAGAAACTTACCACTACAGCAAATTAACTAGGCTTATTTCGCCCTTTAAAAATTAGAACAGTGAAAATTGCAAAGAAATTAAAAGGCTTGCATATTAAAATGCAAAAATTAAAGTTTATGACAAAAATTTCAAGGAAGCGCCTGAAGTTGAAATTTTATCTATTATTTAATTAAGCTTTATCCTTTTCAGGGTTTCCAAGTTGCAAGCAATGTATCTTTTGGCTTCCTTGGAAGGAGAAGAAGTCTCAAAAATAGACACACACTATTACATGCCAAGTAGAAAAAAAAAAAAAAAAAAAAAAGCTTCAATTCAGTGTCCTGTAATTTTATCATGAATTTTATTTTGGCAATATTATCGGCATCTTATTAAGGGTTTGCAGTTCCATCACAAATCCAGAGGCAAAAGTACACCTAAATTTGCTACTCCGATTTTTTGGTTGATTTATGCTATGGAGCCCAAAATTATGCTTTGGCATGAAATATTTTATTATATTAAGTTTTCCACAAGATGTACAACAAAGGGGAAAAGTCCAAACTTACCACATCAGCAAATTCAGGCTTGATTTTGCCTTAAAATTAGAACAGTGAGAGAATTGCAAAAATTTAAAAGGTGCATCATAAAATTGCAAAAATTGAAAGTTTATGAAAAAATTTCAAGAAGCGCTGAAGTTGAAATTTTCTTTTTGTAATTAAGCTTTACTTTTTCAGGGTCCAAGTGCAACAAGGTCTTGGCTTCTTGGAGAGAAGTTCAGATAGCACACCTTTTTCATGCCAAGTAAAGATAATTGAAGAAACCAAGTGTTATTGGTTTGTTTGAAGAATCCTAAGTTATGCATGCATGTAGTGAAAGAGAAAACAACCTGGGGGGGATTTATGATTGCAGCAAATTGGTCCACTGGATACATTCCCAGATTTGAAATACTGCATAATGATCAACAAGGAAGATAATTTTTTATGTTTTCTATTTTTGAAAATGGAAAGGAGGGAGTTAGGTAGTGGATACAAAGATAATATAGATATCGATACCTGAAAGTACCTCCTTGAAACTCATTCGGTGCAAGCTTCCCTGCTCGAGCTTTTTCAGCTAGTTGCTTAACCTAAAGGTCCATGTTAATAGTATTAATATGATACAAATCCTTACAATTTAAATTAAAATTTCTAACTTAATTTTGGAATAAATTAAAAAGCTTCTTGCTGGGAATAAGATGACGATTGGAAGAAAAATCAACTAGTTAAATCTTCAAAAAGTAGTAAATTGGTAAAAACTTAATATGGAGAGGGAAAACAATGTACAGACAACGAGTTCTTCGTCTGGGTTAAAAAATGACCTGAAATTCATTTTCTTGTGAGGAGAGGGTGATAAATATTCCTGATATTCCATATAAGTAATTTCCGATAAATACATATGACATGTGTAAGGAGTAACAATACAGAAGCTGACAGCTGTTCCCTTGATTTTTTTTTTTTTTAATTTTCATTTGTTTATTTTCTATTTATGTTTGAGAAGATGTTCCCTTGATATTAAGAGCCAACATGATAAAGAGCTCACTGCATTCCTTTATCTTTTCTAGTGATGGCTTCTGCACAATTACATAAAGAAATAAAACTGAAATATCAAATTTGCCCATGTACCTCCGAGGAGATTGAGGAAATGGACTTCTGGTCTGCATTCCTAACAATAGGAGTCATCAGGCCCTGTAAAGTAAGATATTATGAAGCCAGATATTTCCTACGCATGTAGATCAGTGGATTACTATCAAAAAAATACCTTCTCAGTGGCAACTGCTATTGATATGTCAACAGAATCACACAAAATTACTTCCTCTTTCTCAGTATTCCAGTATGCTGCAACGCATTGATGTAATCAATATTCAGTACCAGCAATGAATACAGATACAGTAAGTTTGTCAGAGTATTGGGAAGGAAGAACCAAAAATAATTCAATGAAATCCAAAATACAGATAGCTTCAATTGAAAAAGGCCCTGGAGACAAATTCTTACTCAAAGTTCAACTGTCATTTCTGCCAAGACCTTTATATACTTTAATTGCCATTATCATATGAGACATCTATATTATTTACCCAAGCATTTACTATCTATCCGATAATGAAGTGGGAGCAAAGAGCTGTTCAATTCCCTAGTTGATAATTGCATAGGCACCATATGAGATGCTCTAACAAGAATTCAGACTTTGGAGGGCTGCATTCCATTTATAACTCACAGACCGGTTCCACCAGAACAAAAGCGTGTCCCATCAAAGTCAACACCGAAGATTTTGTCATAGCATTAGCTGATTTCCAATTGACCAACTAAATTTAGCAATGTGTAAAACAAACATACATGGGTTGCTATGATTGATAATGCTCCTGTTTAGCTATCAATTCTCGGTTTATAAAATATCTGTGCATTGAGTATTCTATCTGGAATAATATCTAAAAAGAATTTATCATGTATCTTACCATTAGCATCTGGTATATTTCTCAAAGCGATTGCAACAGCTTTGATGACAATGTCATTCACTGACACTTTAATATCATGTTTCTCTGCAAATTGAGGAAGCACCGATGCATGATCAACCTGCCAAAAATTATTGGCATCCAGAGAAATGAAGTAACAAGCCAAATTTCAAACTTTTATACCTTTTAGCTCCTTTCTGAATGAAAGAAGAGGATCCAGTATAACATCTGATAGACAGTTGATAAATTAGAATATGGAATGTATAATGGTAAGAGATATAAATTACATTATGGAATCCTCACAACCTGTCATTAAATATAAATGTGGTGTGGTCTGTTTTGATTCCAATAATCTTTTAGCAATAACCTGCAAAATCATCATTAGTTGTTGAGCATAGAGTGCTTCATGCCAACCTAATTTTTTTAAGACAGATGTAGCAAAATTTTCTTCCATATAAAAATTACTGAAAGGACGGAAGGACCCAATCCAACAATGGGAAGAATGCATGCAATACCCACCCACCCAACCCAAAAAAGAAATAATAATAAAGAAATAGAAAAGAGGAAAACCTCTAAAACATCCACAAGCTTTGAAAAGGAGAGCAACTAGAAATAGGTGACAGCAAAATCCACTACAACTATACAACACAGAATCTCAATACAACTGCACTGAACTTCTATTCCAAACATCAGAAAGTACATCAATGCATATGTTAATACTCATGTTACAGCTAGCAACACCAAAACAAGACGTGATAACAAATGCAAAACAACAACCCAGATAAATTTGCTTATCTGAAAAAGTAACATTCTAATAGTCATAAAGGGAAAAAAGTAATAAGAAATTAAATGTATATATAAGTAATGTGCCAGCCCAACAGATAGATAATTGACCAAGGAACTCATATGATGCAGCAACAAAGAAAATTCATGTGCTAATATAAGCATGCTACAAATCATATGGAAAGTGCTACCAGATGACATGAGTAAGAATGGCTTACATACACTTCTTACATGTTTTTTAGACACAAAGCTATGCATGACAAAATCCATAAAAAGTTATTCTTTGTTTTTATGCAACATCTATATTGATAAACATATAAAAAATTACTTGTTTTACATGGATGCTTCATTTTATTCTAGGATTTGAGAGATTTATACAAAGCAATGGTACAAAGACAAAGTCTAAAGCTGTCTGAAACTCGTCAAAATTTTGACCTCGAGAAGATAAAAAACTTGTGTTTAACTTAAAACTTAAAAGTAACTATATTCCAGTTATTCAAATCTACCTTGCGAATTTGAGTATTTGGCAAATCTTCAAAAGAATCTGACTGTTGTGAGTGGGATTCTGGAAAAGTTGTGGTTGAAGATTGTGGGCCAGTCTTAGCAGATGGAGCAGCTTTATCCGTTGGTGAAGGTTTTCTTGATCCCTTTCCTGACTTAATTGCAGCCAGAACATCACTCTTTAGAAGAGTGCCACGATGACCTGTTGCCTTTAACAATGATGAATCCAATCCATACTGTGAAATCAGCAACTTGGCAGAGGGGCTGATCCTTTTAAAACTTGTTTTCTCTTCTCTACCTTCATCCTTTGAATCACCTTGGCTCAATTTTTCTTCCTTGACCTCCTTGCTAACACTAACATTGGTCTTTACAGTTTCAATATCATCTGGATTTTCAACCTGGTGAAACAACGTCATCAATGATCCTCACCACCTCAGACAAACTAGTCACTCAAAAAGCTCAACATGAATTACAGACAAGTGAAATTAAGATGTGTGCACAAATTGAACATGTATTTCACAACTGTAGCTCATGAAGAGTACCCACTACTTTAAGTAATAAGAAACCAATCACATCATTACTTCAGACACCTTAAAAAATTAATTCATCATATGAAACATACTGTGACTGCAATTGGTTCTCCAACAGCCACGTCCTTTGAACCTTCAGGTGCCAATATCTTTGCTAAATACCTGCATGGAATTTCCAATTAAGACTGCAATAAATCAATCATAACATTCAAAATCAATTTGAACTGATTTTATCATAAATATTATTAATAAGTAAAGAGGTTATTCTTTAAAAAGAAAGACACCAAGAGCAACAACCCATTTACAAAATGGGGATCAGTTACAACACAAAAAGTCACTAGATCTAAACCATCTAGCATATCCATTCCGGCAGCCTACTGAACTGAAAATCTAAGCATAAAGCCAACACATAGCCAACTATTGTCCCAGAGAAAATCTCCCTCTCAAAAATCTCTCTCCCTCTATATCTCTTCTCTCCAGAACATATTCCAAGGCTTTTTTGTTCTGCGCTATATGCATACAAATTCTCTGCACGTGATTTTCTATTGAAAGAGTGATGCCATTAAAAAAAGTCTATCACAAAAACATTTCAAACACATGCATAAACCATTCAGTTTTTATGAATTAGAGATTCAGCCATATTCTTTAACATATCATTTATTGACCATGATCTTTTCCTTTTCCCTAAAGGCTTTCCATGATGAGGATCCTCTACTGTTTTACTTTCCAGACACAAGCCTTCCAAACTGAGCTCCAGGTTTAGTCATCCCTATACTACCCAGATTTTTTAAAAGGATCCAATGATAAGTATCATGGTATTGTCATCAAATCAATACATCATGCTTTGCAACTACTTCATCTAACTGCACATTTACAACCATACAAGAAAACAAAATAAGAATCTTTGAATCCTAATCTTGACAGTTTCTCAGGAAGATATTTTTCCAACATATAATCCATAGATATGAACATATAATTACTCAATACTCTCTCAAAACTCCATATCCACACCATCATAAGACCTGGAAGTTCAGATTTTAGAAGAGCGTCTCTGTACCAAGATCATGCCATATTAAAAAAGACCCTTAAATGTCCACTTCCTACAAAACCCAACCATTGTGATCCAGTCAAGTTTGACAGAAGCCAATAACCTTTTTCTGAAGATAATTCCTTTCAACAATGGATCTCCAAAACCACTTAGAAAGAAGAGCTCTATAAAGCAGAGACAAAAAATTTTTCTGGAATGCACTTCTCCAGTGGGTTCCTAGTCATCTACCCCCCCCCCCCCCCCTAGAAAGTAAAGCTCTCATAAAGCCAGGCTTGTTAATACTATTTAATGTGATATTACTATCTTATACTTTCTAAGGGACAGAAAAAAAATTTTTTAACTGGAATCGCCAGCTTTACTTCGCCAGTGGGTTTTCTAAGTCTTTAATGGAACTAGCCGCACTCCCCTCCCTTTTGCTTCTTTTTATACTCAACATCGTGAAAATTTTACCGTCCCTCAAACTTAGATAACCTTTTCATTGAAGCGTGAGATCAATCTTTTAACCACTCAAAGTAAGAATAGCCCCCCTTCTCTTTTTCTCACCATGTGAAATTTTACCGTCCTCAACAGAAACCTTTCTTGAACTTGAATCAATCTCTTTACCACCAAAGTAAAGAATAGAAAGATATCAGAAATATTGGAGGAAGTGTTTCCATAAGACAGACAAAAAAAAAAAACACCAAACAGACAAGTTTCAGTAACAATTTTATTTTCACAGTAGGAAGAAAATGCCTTTTCCTTTGAATGTCTCCTTACAGAATATGGAGGTCCATTCAAGGAAGAGACCCCTTTACCGTGTGCTGCTTGCTAGGAGACATCCATCCATTCTTTTAACCAGAGGAATATCTCCCTTTAGCTAAACATTCGACCAAAGTACCAAATAAAAGAAAACACATTGAAATGAACATTTAAGTTGAGGATTTTATGAAAATCTGTGCCAAATAATTTTCCCTTGTCTTTCCCAACTTAATGCACATAAAATTCCAGGTCCATTGCTTTGGAAAACATTTCTTTATGAACTTCCTTTATGGTACGTGTATATGTCTGCTGTTTATTGAGTACCCACTAATCTGATAGTGTATAGGATAGTCAAACCATGAACATAAATATGCTTTAGAGCATTTCACTTCGTCAAATTAAATAGGCCTTAGACTTATATGTAACTTGATCCAATCACATTAACTCCCATTTGAGTTATCAGCAGATTGTACTCTTTTATAACAGTTACCTTCCAAGTTAATAGCAACAAATAATCTCCAACGTAATAGAATTATTACCCCTCTTCAAGGCTTTCAAATTCAAGGGTGGCCTTGTCTGTCTCTATCTCACATATGACATCACCCACTTCTATCTGTTGAGAAAAAGAGAAGTGCCAAGAGAACAAAGCATGATGATTTGATCAATTAGTAGATGACAGACAGAAAGGAATTTAGCGATGAACCTACAACTTCGCCAAACAAACCTTATCTCCTTCCTTTTTCCTCCACTTGGCAATATTGCCTTGGTTCTGAGCATGAACAGAGAAAAGCAATTAGATTTTGTGGGAAAAGAGAAAATCAGCAGAATGGAGCCACACACATTGCATGTCCTAGTCCATACTTTCTTACCATTGTTGGTGATAATGCAGGCATTCCAAGAACAGTATGAGGAGGAAGTTCAGAAGCATTAATCTTAATAGAGCCAGTTCCCTTGTCTTCAATTTTGGCATCCTGGTTAGACGATTTTTCCTCAACATCTGATCCACTGTAAATGGTTGCAGGGACATTTTGGATGTCATCTGCATCCTCAACCTTGTGAGACCATCAAAACAGTGTTAACAGCCTGTTAACTGAATAATTGATACTCTCAACAGAATTTGTGGGCAAGTATATATTAAAAATAATTTTAACGTAAAATAAGCATACAAATGCAAGGTCTTTTTCAAGTAATAAAAGAAAAGTTCAAACAAGTTTTTAGTCTACCATAATTTACCGTTATGGCAATGGGCTGTCCTACAGGCACATCCTTTGAACCTTCAGGCACCAAGATCTTTGCCAAAAACCTGAAGTGGTAGAATACATAAGTGAATAGAAAAGCAATTCCATGAAAGTTTCAAACTGGGGAGAAAAAGGTAGCTAATGTGGTGCTCTCTAGTCCAAAACAAGTGCAAGTAAGTATGTACCAAAATTTTGAAAAGGAGAATAATTGCAAGACCAAGAAAATTCTGAAGCAAATGAGCATTCAAAAAAGCAATGTGTCCACAAAGTGGAATGTCATTGTTAACAAGAGGCAAAAAAAAAAAAAAAAAAATTAATAAAACACCGAGTCGCCAGATACAGTATGTACCATAATAAATTTTGAAAGGAGAATAATTGCACAGAACAAGAAACTGGCCTCATACTTCTGCAGCAAATGAGCTATTCAACAAAAAGCAATGTGTCCACAAAGTGGAATGGTTGCATTCGTTAACAGGAAGAGTCTATAAAAAAAAAAAACAAACAAAATAAGTTAAAATAAAATGTATAAAAAAAAAATACTAAAAGAAAGAGAAAATCAGGTTACTACATGGAACATAAAGGTAGAGCTAAAAATAGCTCTATAAAAGATCAAGGGAAAAGGTAGAAAGACAGGAACGTACGCCTTCTTCAAGACTTCAAATTCAACGTGTAGCTTTATTGGCTCCTATCAAATCACAAGTAACATCCACTTTTTCTATCTGCTCAGATTTGGTTTCACACAATTGCAGAATGCAGCGAATAGGGATCGACAATTGCAGCCTTCTATAATTCGTCGCACCTGATTCAAGACACCTAATTATAAATAAAACTTCACTCTTATCTTCTATTTCTTGCATCCTTCATTATCTTCCTCTCCTCTGAATATTTGCTATGTTAGCCTTGAGTCTCGCAAAACAGGGGAAAAAACAGGAACATAGCATTGCAGAAGAAGAAAAAGTCAAAGAAAAAAATACAGAACTGTTTGATATTACGATATATCATACCAATTGTTTAGTGTTATGACTCTAAAGACTGGGCATTCCAATTGACCTATATTGTAGGATGAGAGGCTTGAAATAACGCGATTAGCTGATAAATATGCACCATAAGAAACAATTGACAAACATACTTATGGGATTATCATAGAAAACGCCCTTTAAGATAGCATACCATTACAACGCAACCAGCATTTAATCGCAACTTGTTGTGGAAGGTATACTATCAATTTCCTTTTGTTTTTCATACAATACTCATTTGCCTCTTGGATATAGCAGCAGATTATATCCTTGCCGTTATGCAAAAGAAAAAAAAAAAAAAAAAAATAAATAAATAAAAAAATAAAAAAAAATAAAAAAAGAGAGAAATCAGGTTACTACATGGAAAAAGGAGAGATAAAAAATTATAAAGAAAAAGGAAAGGGTAGAAAGAACAGAACGTACCCTTCTTCAAGACTTTCAAATTCAAGTGTAGCTTTATCTGTCTCTATCTCACACAGTACATCCCCCATTTCTATCTGTCAGATTGGTTCAACAATGCAGAATGAGCGAATAGGGATGCAATCAACATATTCTCCCTGATTCAGTCACCTTTAAATAAAACTCACCTTATCTCCTTCTTTCTTCCTCCATTTTGCTATGTTACCTTGAGTCTGCAAAACAGGGGAAAAAAAGGAACATAGCATTGCAGAAGAGAAAAAGTCCAAAGAAAAGATAAAGAACTGTTTGATATTACATTATCTTACCATTGTAGGAGACAAAGCTGGCATTCCAATGACCATATGGGATGGAGGCTCTGAAATAACAGCGATTAGTGATAAATATGCACATAAGAACCAATGACAAACAATACTATTCATAGAAAACAGCCCTTTAACCACAACAACAGCAACCATGCCTTAATCCCAAACTTGTTGTGGAAGGCTATATCAATCCTTTGTTTCAAATATCTGCTCTGATCAGGTTAATATCCATGCAAAAGAAAAAACAACTCCGGACAAAAAAAAAAATCTTACAGAGGAATTTGAAAAACATTTGATATACCAATATTCATGTAAAGCAAAGCAAACTAGTTGGGGTTTGCTACATGAATCTTTTGCCTCCATTTATTCTGTTCATAGCCATGTCCTCACTAATATCTAAAGACAGTAGATTCTTAGCTACGACTTCCCGCCAAGTAGTTCTAAGTCGAACTCTTCCCATTTGAGCATCCTCCATTACTAAATATCATATTTGCCTACTGGGGCATGTGGGGGTCTACATAATATCAAAAAGCATAAATGTCATAAATATATTGATGTGGCACATTCAGGGCAATCTGAGGGAGGGTGGTTAAGATGTTTAGACAATATCCATAATATGTCTGCAGATCACTAGAGCGGAGAAAGGGAGCAGATTCAGGCAGAAAAGAGAAAGGGAGAAGAGATATCTCAACTGATAGCACAAAATATGGCTCTAGATAGAGCAGTAGAGAAGAAGAATCCATGTAGTTGACACAGCTAGAGAGGGATTGAGGCCATGTTAATTCGAAATTATAAATATACTCATATAAGACCAGATTCACCAAAAGAATAGTAACAAAATACAACAAAGATCAAACCTTGAATAAGAAACGAGAAAATCTTACAAATGTATACTTATAATTGACAAGATTTCAACAAGAATTTTCCTTCTAAACAAAAGAAATTTTATCGAGGATGAAATGAAGAGAGCATCATGAGGACAATAAGAAACCTACTAAAGAAAACTGAACATACAACTTCAAGCAATATACCAAAAGAAAAGGTACAAAAATAAAGCCCCCAATTGAGTTGGATTACATGTGAACCCAGCAACCAACACCCTCCCCCCTTCCCTCTTTTCCCTTTTTTTCTTTTGCTCAAAAAAAAAAAAGTTCCAAAAAGCAAAAAAACCCAAAACCCTACATAGAAGACGAAAACTAATTTTTGAAGATGCATGTATTGAGCTCCACCCAGGGACTCCATACTAGAGTTTAAGATAAGCTATATGCTCATAGCGGCTGATAACTTATGCACATCCAAAATTTCACTTCACGCAACATGAACTCCCATCACGCAACATGAACTCCCATCCCCATAGTGTTTATTCAATACTTGCTTCCAATTGAAAAATTGATTACCATTGCGACAAAAAAATTGTGCAGGGCACAAGATACAGGTGATTTAAGTCTTGTCTCAGGGCAATCCAAATTTTATTACCATTATAATTGCGACACCAAAATAGTAACATCCTTCCACTTATGTCCCAGCAAGGTGGACAAGTACTAATTGATATATCTTGAGAGCATACTTCAAAAAATTTCACCAGTTCAATAGACATAATTGTCTTTCATGCTACACCAAAATACAATCTATAGTTAACAACAATTATTAAAGATCCTACTGCTACTAATAGGACATGTGAGAGCTAATGCAATTGAGAACTTTACACCAGCCGTGATGACTTAAATAAGATCATATAATTACTGGCTTCAGTAATTCAAATGCAACAAATCCAGTAGGTAAAGAGATAATGAAGGTGCAACCAAGAAAGTTCCTTTAAGAACAGCCAAACAGCTGACACTATCCCAGAGATAGAAACATAAATATGGAGTGTTTGCTAATCACAGGAAGATGATATGTACCTGCAGATGAGAAATTTCGAAAACCAATTCGCCACTGCAAAATGAAAGAAAACATTAAAAACAGACATACCAATATTGGTAGAACTGAAAACTGAATACTGACCTTTTGCTTCAAAGAATTATCATCTACTCCAGCAATCATGGATAAGGTAGCAGGCCTGATGAACATTATCATAAGTGAATTTCCAGCATAAAGAAACAAACAAAGAAAGAATAAATAGGGATAGACTGGTTTGTATAGAGGAATAAGAAACCAAAGACAGTTAACTTAATGCATGCACCATAATCTAAATGGCATTGAATTTGTGAAGGGTGAAAAAACATGAACTAAGCAACCAAACCCAACATTGCTTGAAACTCAATCACCAGAAATTTTGTTGTCTCTAACTAGACTAAATTATAATACAGAAACAGTCTCAATAAATGTTATTTGTTATTGAATGGATGTGCCAGAGCTTTCCACTTTGTCTAGTATGACTTTGGACAATTTTCGTTTTGTGGTAATCAAAACAAGGGGTTCATATCATATCAAAGAAAAAGGCTGATTCCTTTTAAAGGAAACAACTATATTAGTAACAGTCCCAAAATTTATTTAGCAAAGTTTGATGTAAGAGCAATAGAACCATGTAAAGCAGCAGTAGCAGGTTTTTAGAATGATAATGGAACAGTTAATGGACACTAACCTTAAAAAAGAGCCATTGCTGTCCACACAAGAGTTTTTAGCATTAGAACAACTGCATCAAGTCGACAATAAGCAAGGATATTAGAACTATTATCATATAAGTGAAACTAGAATTCATAGTATATCATCCAGTATTATTCACAAAGGGTTAATGAGTTAGTAACATTTATAGCAGACAATAGAAGCATCAAAGTCAATATTCTCTAATCATTGGGACCCTACAAAGTCATCTTGGTAAGAACAAATCAACTGTGAAACAGCAAGAACTTTAAATGGAATTTTTGCTGCCTCATGCCTAGCTAACATATCATTTCTATTTGACAAATGAGATGCCATTAGAATAAGTATAGTGGAGCAAATTTGGAAAGTTGCGGAAAGCATCTGTTCCACATTTTACGAGGAAGCAAAAGGCAGGGATGCAAGTTCTGTCTGAGATGAAGTTTTCCATTTGAAACAATATTAATTCAAGAATCTGCTTAAGCAGTTCAATCTCCCATCCAGTTTCCATATAAAATTTGTTATCAGTAGAATTTGATCCAATTACTGGAAAGTTCTCCTCAATCATTCTTCCCCCAACATTTCACTTCCTAAGTTAAACACAAACACCATCCCATAATTAGGGAAAGGTTTTAACTTTTAGTAAACTAAATCAATTCCAAAATATAGACTCGTATACATAAACACTCAAACCACTTGTAATTCATTTTTCATCTTTCCAAATACAATTTTCACATAATATGTGATTTTGACCAAAATCCACTCAAAATCACCACTCCCCAAAAGCAAAACCAATCAAATGCACATTAATTGCATTGTCTAATACAAAAGGTTAATACTTTATTGCTTGTATTAATATGATCATAAGGAAAACTGCACACGTACTTAAATATTGAAGTATATGTGCCAGTGCATGTATAACTATATGAGAACGGAAAGTACCGAGCAAGTGATCCAGAAGAAGGGTAGGTGGAGAGAAACCGAGCTCTCAAGAGAGAAGGGGCGCGCGAGATCACCGGATGTCGAAGCCGGGAAAGCGTCATAGCTGTCCCCTTTTATTAAATTACTGCACAGAGGGAGACTGTCAGAATTGCACGAGAAGAATAATGGGTTCTGTGCGTGTTTGCGAGAAATTGCAGATCGCAGATGGCGAACTATGGGGTGGCTGGTTATTGCCTAGAATTGTAAACTAACTTCGTTTCCTCTTAGATGACTTTTTCGTTCTATTTTATTTTATGTGCAACTCGGAGACCGGTAAGTATGCACCTGACTGTACTTGATCTTAAAGAATTAAGTGACTCCCTTATACATTTGTTTTTTAATAAATGATTTTTATTATTATATTAATTAATACTTTTATTTATCTTTCATATTAAAATAAAAAATAATATGTGCACTTTAGTGATATATAAAATGAAACTTTGTATTAATTCCATTTGTGTAATGAGTGATGTTACTTGCTCATACCTCTTCAATTTTAAACAAATTGATGTTGCTGGCAAGCTGTTACATTGTAGTTATTTCTCACTTCGACCACCAGATTGATAGGTCTTTATTAGCCGTTTTAATGTATAGCAAATTGATTTCATTTATATTTCACTCTTAATAACATTTCAAGTGTTGGTGGTCCCTATTAGTAATCCAAATTTTTGGTATATTTTATTGAATTTGCATTATAAATATTGCTTAAAATATTTTATTGCAAAATGTTTTGTTTTTTTAAAACTTAACAATTCATTAATAATCAATATAAATTGATTATGTCATAATATTCTTATAAAAATAAAAAAATATATATAAATATGAAAAATTGAAATCTTTTATTTACAGAAAATATTAATATTTCAGATAAAAATTGATTCTTTTTCGAACAGCACTATAAAAAAGACCGAAAAAATCTTCCATAAACCAAAATTCTAAGCTTAGTTAGCTACTTTCTCGGTTCATTACACAAAATGGGTTCAGGCTCTTTTGTCTCTCGGAATGGAAATGCGACAGGTCACTTGAGACAGTTAAAGGTTGGCTCCCTCCCAAATAATTTTTTTTTCATTATTATTTCCGCAAGCTGTATATTTCCGGTCATGTGCTTCCACCTAATTAATTATATATTCCAGCGTTTACCTTCGTCAATTGCAGAAAATAGCAGCTATAGAGAAAACATCAGAAAATTCCTTCTCAGGAAACTACCATGAATTTGCCAAATTGAGATTTCTTGGCAACTTACTATAGAGAAAACCATTTTCAAGAAGATGCCATGCCCGAGTGAGAGAGAGAGCTGATAAATACCTGCTATTGTTTAGAAGAAAGAAGCCTACAACATAGTATCAGTAAAAATCTTTTTTAAAGAAGTAAATTTTCTCATGGCTTCTTCTTCTTAAAAGACCGAAAAATTTCCATAATCCATAACGCAGACAAATTCAGACTAAAGCTTACGTTAGCTACTTTCTCGGTTCATTACACAGAAATGGGTTCAGGCTCTAGTTTGTCTCTCGGAATGGGAAATGCGAACAGGGATCACTGAGAATACAGTTAAGGTTGGGCTTCCCTCCACCAAATAATTTTTTTTTCAATTCTTTCATTTTCCGCAAGCTGTAATATTTCCGGTCATGTGTACTTCCGCTAATTAAATTATATATTCCAGCGATTTACCTGTCGTCAATTGCAGAAAATAGCAGCTATATAGCGAAAAATGTACAGATAAATTCCTTGCCTCCAGGAAACTACCATGAATTGCCAAAAACATTGAGATTTCTTGCAACTTGATCTGTTATGACAGAGAAACCATTTTTCATAAGAAAGCTGCCATGCCCGAAAGTGAGAGAGAGAGGCTGTGATAAATCCTGTCTCACTTCGTATGCTATGAAGAATAGGACAGCCTACAACATAGGTATAGTAAACACATCCTTTATTTTAAAGGAATAAATTTTTCTCATGGCTTCCTTCTTCTTCTAAACATTCAGTGACCGCGATATGATGTGGGTTTTCCTCTAAGTTCTTAAGGAGGTGAAAGACACTCGAAATAACTTTAATAGCCATCAGACTGATTATTACAAGAGTTGTGTCGATAAAAGGAAATCATTAACCTTATCAACGGCTGATAGAGAGGCCTTCGAAAAGGAAAAGTTCCGTTCTCAGCAGCTCCCAAGACATAAAGCTTTGGTAAGTTTCTTAGTTTGACCAGCTCCTAAAAGCAATAACGTGAACTCACCGAATCTTGGTCGTTATTTTTTTCTAAATTATGCCTGCAATTCAAAGCAATGGGTGTATTTGAATGAACATTGTAATAAATTTTTGAACTGCAATAGACAACTTAAAGGCAGACTGTTTTGCCCATTTTCTATGATGTGAGTCCATCTGAAGTGAGAAAAACAGGCTGGTAATTTGGAGAAATACTCTAACGGGACCCCTGCTTCACAAGTATGAAAAACTGTTCAAAGACAACATCTGAGGAAGGTTTCAACATATAGAGTTGCATTAACAGAGATGGCCAATGATCTCGGATGTGCATCCTATCATAGGCAGGTTCAGACAACTTCTGCTTTCCATTTTAATTATTAGATTCTGGTTTTGTTTTACTCATTGTTATTCAGTTCTTGCTGCTTTTTGATCAATCTGATTACAAGATTTATTCGTTGTAAAACGCACTTTTTACTACAAAAAAAGTTCTCAATGATATGAAATGAAAATTATAATTTATCTTAAAGACATACGAAAATACAAGAGAAAAACTTTATTTTTTTCTTACTGATTCTTGAAAACTATTCAAAATATGATTTCTTTTGTAATTCGGGTTTTGTGTTTGAACCATATGAGGATCTGCCCATGTAACAGGGATGAAGTCGAAGTTTATTCAAGGATATTGTTGAAGGAATTACAGGGATGAGTCGGAGTTTATTCAAGATATTGTTGAAGACATACTCAGCCAATTGAGAAGATCAAGTCATAGCATTGCCAAGGATTTTGTGGGAATGGAGTCTAGGTTGGAGAAAATAAATGATTATCTAGATTTAGGGAACTTGAGTAAAGTTAAAACTATAGGAATATGTGGGATGGGTGGAATAGGTAAAACAACTATTTCTAGTGTTGTTTACAAGGATATTTATTGTCAATTTGAAGGGAGTTGTTTTCTTGAAAATGTTAGAGAATCTTCTGAAAAATATGGTATAGTTTCTTTACAGAATCAACTTCTATCTGCAACATTGATGGATAAAGACATACAAATATATGATGCTTATAGAGGAACTGACGAAATAAGAAATAGGTTGTGTCGTAAAAAGATTTTAGCCATTCTTGATGATGTTGATCAGGTGGAGCAATTAGAGTTTTTGATTGGAAAAAAGGATGAACATCGGTTTGGTATTGGAAGTAGGATCATCATAACCACAAGAGATGAACATATCTTGAAAAAACATGGAGCAGATGAAATATACAGAGTTGAGGAGTTAAGTCAGGATGATGCCTTTAAACTCTTTTGCTCAAAGGCCTTCAAGAATAATCAACACAAGGAGGAATATGTGGAGCTTTGTAACGATTTTGTAAAATATGCCAATGGCCTCCCTTTAGCTCTTACTATTATAGGTTCCTCTTTGTGTGATAAATCTGCGAGGGAATGGAACAGCACATTAGACAGACTAAAAGAAATTCCAAATGAAAAAATTCTGAGCAAGCTTCAATTGAGTTATGATGTGCTTGATGAAGTATCAAGAAAAATATTCCTTGATATTGCATGTTTCTTCAAAGGAATGAAGAAAGAATATGTGATAAAAGTACTAGAAAGCTGTGGATTCTTCCCAGAAAGCGGAATAGGAGAACTCATCGATAAATCTCTCATAACTATACTAAGTGGATATTTGCGGATGCATGATTTGGTTCAAGAGATGGGAAGAGAAATTGTTCGTAAAGAATCTCGCGAAGACCCAAGCCTACGTAGTAGAATATGGCTTGACAAGGATCTCTATCACGTTCAAGTAAAGGACATGGTAAGTAATACTTATTGTTTTTTTTATAGTATTCGGTAATTAACAAGGTATCTAATTATATATTATTCTTTATATACCCTCAATTGACAGAAAACAGAACAAGTTAAGGCTATAGTCCTGCATTCTTGGAAACAAGAAGAGCAATAGTCCTGCATTCTTGGAAACAAGAAGAGCAACACTTAAGTGCTAAAGTTTTCTCCAGAATGAAAGAGCTGAGATTGCTTATACTCCGAAGTGTACCCACCTCTCAGGAAGTTGAATATCTTTCCAATGAATTAAGTTATTTGGAATGGTATAAATGTCCATGTAGAACTTTTCCATCAAATTTTCAACCAGATAAACTTGTCCAGCTCCATATGCAGCACAGCAGTATTGAACAACTTTGGAAGAGATCAATGAAGGTGCGTGATTCGTGATTTAATTTTATACCACAATGTTACTTAGTAATTAAATAATCTATTCATTTAGTAATTAAATAATCTATTCATTTTTTTGGTATATCTTGTTGTAGCCTATTAAGTTGCTGAAGGTCATTGATCTTAGTTACTCGGAAAGTTTAATTGAGACCCCGGACTTCCGAGGGATCCCAAATCTTGAGGAGTTGAATCTTGAAGGATGTAAGAATCTTCATGAAGTTCACCGATCTATTGGAGTTCTAAAAAGGCTTGTTTTCCTTAACCTGAAAAATTGCGGAAACCTTGTGTCTCTTCCAAGCAGCATGTGTAACTTAAAGTCCCTTAAGAGTCTTATCTTGCGTGGCTGTTCAAAACTTAAGAAACTTCCAAATATGTTTGGATATGAACTGTTTGGAGGTGTTGGATGCAGCTGGAATTGGTATGCAACAACTGGAATTAGCTAAGCAATGGAATTTCCATCTTCTGTCATGGTTGATGCCTTCGACTTGGAAGAATCCAGAGCCTATGGTTATGGCATTTCCTTCAGCTCTACCCTTCTTGAAAGAACTAGACCTTAGTTACTGCAATCTTCCTGAAGGAGCCATTCCTAATGACCTTAGTGGCTTCCCCTTGCTGGAACGTCTCAATCTAAGTGGAAACAATTTTATGACGTTACCCTCAAGCATCAATCATCTTTCCCAACTCCATTGTCTTGAATTATCTAATTGCAAGAAGCTTCAGTCATTACCAGATCTTCCATCGAATATCGTAGGTCTGTATGTGGAAAACTAGTCATTACCAGATCTTCCATCGAATATCGCAGGTCTGTATGTGGAAAACTGCACTTCTTTGGAAAGTCTTCCAAATTTGTCTGACAAACCCAATGTGAAGCATTTTCGGATAGATTTCTCATACTGCTCCAAGTTAAATGATAAGCAAGGGACAATCAAGGTGGCGTTTGCATGGCTGAAAAGTTTCCTGCTTTCGTTTCTAAAAATCCGTCGGCTGCTCAGGATACAAGAAATCTGCACAAACATGGATCAGTTTGAAAAAATTTGCCGCAAGGTCTAGCTCTGAAATCATTGCTTTCTTTTTATGCCAGTTAATTTTTTATTCTGAAGCACTAACACATTACAGGTAATAAACTTGATGCAGAAAGGAATTTATACATACAGACCATATTCATTCCCTCGCTTCTCTATGTACTTACCTGGAAGTGAAATTGCCGACTGGTTCAACTATCAGAGTTTCAACAGTCCGTTGAAAATATACCTGTCTTCTTCTGAAAAATGGTGGAACATTGTAGGTTTTGTTGTTTGTGTTGTGATAACTGAAGATGATGAACCTACTTGTGAATTTGAAGTTTATAGTAAAAACAAGTTTGTTTTTGGCCCCACCTATCATCTCAAAGATTGGAGATCAGACCATCTTTACCTCTTCTTTATTCCCAATCACTTGATTGATCCTTATGAAGAACAAAGTCCCACCAAGGTGAAGCTAACTTTCAATGAAACAGAAATCAAAAAGTGTGGGATACGCATTGTACATGAGAAAGAAATAGAAGAATTACTCCAACTTGGTAAACCTTTAGAAAATTTGTATGCTTTTCAGAATTTTGAAGAAATATATAGTCCAAGCCATGAAGAAAATTTTGACAGTGGAGAGGAAGTAAGTACAGAGTTGGAATTCTGGTCAGAGGGAGAGGCAGATGATATGGAGTTGGGAATCTGCTGCTCAGAGAGAGAGGAAGATGATGTGGAGTGGGAAATCAGCAGCTCATAGAGAGACGAAGATGATATGGTGTGGGAAATTGGCTCGCCATTGCGAGAGTTAGATTAGTTTTTATCAGGAATTAATTGATTATCTATATTGTTTGCTGCTGAAAAGGTACATTAACTGTAATAAGACATAAATATTGCTTTAAGGCTGTCGCCTATAAAAGATTCCATCCGTATGAGAATTGTAGTTTAAGGCGGCCCTCACCGCTCTCGGCTCGTTGGCCCGGTAGCTTCGGGCCACTGACTTTTTATGATAAAAAAACAATTTATTTTCCTAAATTTGTAACAAAATGTTCATTAATTTGACTACGTTACCCCTTAGAAAAGTATAGAGATAGTTATCACATTAAATATAAACAAGGGTAAAATTGAAAAAACTTTATTAATTATTCCTAAATATTTTCAAAACAACTTTTATTTATGACGAAAATAATTATATTAACATAATTTGTATTTGTGGATAGAGAGAGTATAATAAGAATATATGAATGACATTATCAATCTTTAGATTTAAAATTGTATTTATTTCAATATAGACACATCAATAATAATTATCTTATCCCAAAATAATTTTATATCATAAGATTGATCATCTTGATAACTGTCAACTCTTTCCTTTTAAATGATTCGTGTTGAACCAACAACCATAAGAAAACAATTGATAAGATTCAAAGAATTATTAGAAATGCATTTGTCCATGCTAATCAAATACTACAATGTTGAACTAGAATTGAAAACATCTCCTGCAGGAAGCTTTTTGATAAATTTAAGATAATCAAATACTACAATGTTGAAACTTAGAATTTGAAAACAAGGGAGGTCTCCTGAGGAAAGCTTTTTTTGATAAAATTTAAGAACAGCTTTGACAGTATTTAGAGCAGCAAAGTGAAACCAAATGAACCAAATGTATAAATCGAATTATCTCCTAATTGACTTCCAGCTAAGTCCGACATTCCTCGAATCATGAGCACGGGAAAGCCATTAGACAAGCATGTCTGATGAACAGAAAATAGTATGGTTTATGGTCGAGTTATATATACATTTACCGTTAGACTATATTGTGTCGGAACAACTAAATACTCATATTAATTATAGAAAATGGAACTTACCATTACTACAGCAGAACTCTCCATATCTGCAGTTGACGCCTCAAATGTTTTGAAAAGGAAATCTGTATAAGCTGCATTGTCTAAAAAAATATTGGCTGAATATATGGAACTTAAAAAAATATTGGCTGTTGATCCTTTAAGCCCAACAACTAGCTTTGGCTTTTGTGTCAGGCACAAGCTTGAATTAACACATTTATCTAGTTCCATCCCCTGAGTTGAAAATTAAAAACATTACATACCCATTATTAAAAAGATCAAAAAATAAGAAAAAATAAGAAACTGTATCGAAGATTAAGTTAAAAAATCTGAAACAACTTTTGATAATGAAATATGATATTGTATATGAAATTCCTAAAGTTGTCATTCTTACAACTCAAAAAAGCAGAGAGTCTTGTGTACTGAGGATCCACTTTTTAACTACCAAAAAGTTAAACATCAAGGAATCAAAAATTTCATGCAGGGTTAACCTCTAAGCTTGCAGCAAGATGCAGCCAATGCTGGTTTACTTCATCCCAGAACAGTGGCTCCGCCGCATTAGCCTCCTTCACAGAAAAAAATTGCTCATTGCTGTATCCAAGTTTTCCCAGCATATTCAAGCCATCTCCTTCCATCTCCTTGAGGGACATTGTAGCTTCCAATCTTTATCTCAGCAACATCACTTGAGCTTACAGTTCCATTTGGGTTCTGCAAAATCAAGAAATTCTGAACATGTAAAAGATGCATTCTTTTGGGTTCAAGAAAATAATAGTAATTTTCAGTCGCCGGCTTAGCCTAGTAGTAGTAAGTGCATATCTAACTTAGACAAAGACTCGAGTTTGAATCCTCATTTTTCAGTACTCTGAAGAAAGAAAGGGAATGATTTATACATACCAGCCAATCCCAAAGGCCAGTGTTAGCAAATTTCTTTGGAATGGAAAGTGGGAATGGACAGTGTTAGCAAATTTCTTTGGAATGGAAATATCTCCAATGAACATAGAATTGTTTAAATTGCCAGATATGCCAAAATGAATAATGCCAGTCATGTCAAACAGATCCAACATTTGTTGTGTTGCTGCAGCAGCATTCACCTGATTGAACCAACGGCAAATTTTTTTTAATATCGGAAAGAATCACCTCTCATAGTCATGGTAATATAAATATACATGTATATATTTGAAATTATCCAATAAAAAATATTAAAAAGAATGGAGTTCTCATTAACCAAAAAAAAAAAAGAAAATTTTATTCCAAGAATTGCATCCTATTCCCAATCCGGAGCTAACCAAACATGTCGAACTAAATCAGAGCCTAATGAACAAAAAGAGTAAAAGAAAAGAAAAGGAGAACAAATAAGATAAAAAGAAAAGGAGAACAAATAAGAAAGGTAAAAGATTTACCAATCCAATCCCACATCTAACATAGATAACTTTCTTCTCATAGATTGTTCCCACCCTGAATCTCCTTCCTGCAATTTCACAATATTACTTCCACTTGCAAAATACACTATCAGTAGCTATAAATAGTATATTTTGCTGAAATAGTTTACCTGAACCACAAAAGGGTACTTGGGATTAGGCATGAAAGCACCGGTTGCAAAGAAAGCATTCTCCTCAGGTGTATATACAGTAACAAGACCAATATAAGGCCCTATCTTGTTAATTTCCTTGATTTTGATCCAAGAAAATCTTTTCTTTGATGAAACAGCAGCAGACACTAATATAACTTGCAAGAAAATCAAAACCAGCAATAGCATTGTAAAGCATTGTGCAGTTTTTCTTGCAGCCATGGCTGAGTTCCCTGTTGTTTTTTAGCTGGATTTGACAATCCTATATATAATATTGAATTACTGTAGAATTGTTATATAAATTCATATATTATTTTCTTTCTGAAGCTGTCTCTCATGGACGAATTCTTTCAGTAAAGAAGATCAGACAGTAAAGAAGATCAGACATAAAAGGATTTTGGAATAGTAAAAAGATTTTGAATAGTATATTCCCATTATTAAAATTTGATTTTATATTATCATTTGTCACATGTTTGAATAGAATAACAGATTTCTTTCAAGTGTAAATAAAATAGGCACATGATTGTCATTTTTCAACTGGTGGTTAAAAACCTCATATTAGACTAATTTGGAGACTGCAAGGCAAGACAAATGAATTAAAAACCTCATCTGATTCTGACACAGAATTGTTTGGAGTTCACTCAGAAACATTTCACCTAACATCCACATTTATAAATTATCACGTGATTTTATCACGTGATTCTGATTCCTGAATTCTGCTATGTTCATTTTATAACAAGTCCACACTAATGCCAAAGAAATAGTAGATCTAATATTCAAGATTTGAAATTAATTATGATTTGAAATTAATTATATAGACCAAAACGATCACAAGGTTGGTAGAGAAAGTCTATATGAGAGTTTCTTGCAACTTTTTTAATTTCTGACAAATAGCTGGGTTAAATCTTCCAAGTCCAAAAGAGAAGATATGGCATTTTTTAATTAGGTTTAACCAGGCTTCAATAGAAGTTTAAAACAGTATTGTTAGAATCGATACCAATCTTAGGGATGAATCAGAGAGCAACCTGAATCGAAAGTGGATTGTGCGAATCGGCAGCGAATCTGAATGAATCGCAACAAATCAAGATTCATGTAAAATATTAAAAAAAAAAAAACTAAAATATGGGCCCAAATGCAAACATAGAAGGAGATTAAACTTCACATATATTAAAAAAAAAAAATTAAACGACGCAATGTCTGAAAGACAGAAGCAACAATACCTGGTTGGCTTACCAGGGTTATTTTGAACTTAGGAACAATACAAATTATTAAGTTTTTTTAGTATATGATTGATATTAAAATTTTCTATGTGAAGTAATGAGAAAATTAATAATAATAAGGTAATATTATTGAGACAGATTATATTAATTGAGACAGAATTTCATGCAATGAGCTTTTTTCATTGAATTCATGTGATAATGTTAAATACAAGAAAGAAGTTCTGGAACCCTAGCCCTCTAAACTCTGGCCAATCAGAGAATACATTGTACAATCAATTCTATTACAAAAAGTAAATGGATGTAGTAAAAAACCTCACAAAACTCAGTTCTAAACAAACTGGAAGAGAGCCTTGTGAGGTAGTATTGCTGCACCCTTGAAAGCAGGCCGACTGAAGCAGAATCCATAACCTTCAATCTCTTTCACAAGAATATATAATCTATTCAGGGAAGTCAACTGTTTAAGGAACCCAAAATTTCTCTACACAATTTAACAGTAAAGAATTTTTTTGTGAAAACCACGGAACAGATTTTCAACCCGGTTGAGAGTGGTTTTTGAGACTCTCAATCGCTTAAACCACGAACAGATTTTCACCGGTTTTGAGAGTGGTTTTGAAGACTCTCAATCGCCTTTTTCCACTGCCATGCCCTTTGTTTTGTATCCTCAAATGCCAATACCTTCTTTGGCTGAGCAGTTACACAGCTATTGATCAGAAATATGAAACAGCAAAAGAAAAAATGAACAAAAATGGAAGAGGGAGGCAGAGGGAAGAATATAACAATCTGGAAACAATAAATTGTTGTTTTCAGTTAAATGATGCCATGCTGAGACCACAAATAAATGGTCCCTGACAATTACAAGAAAACAGAAAAATTATTTCTGGGAAATGATAGGAGAAATAAATGCATACCGTAAAGATCTTGAAATTTGATGGACTTCTAACCTGGACATTGAGGTCATTAGAATTGTCCAGATCCATTTGTTTTCGGTCCGATATCTTTTGGAAACCAAAAAACCGATCGGTTGAAATTGAAATTGGTTGGGCTAATCTTAATTCCAATCCATTGGTTTGAAAAAATGGTACTCCTATGCTCTATGGCTATTTACATGTTTTTAGTCATTACACTGGAATGTCTATCTTTTATTTGGTGATATAATTTGGGTTGTTGTTTTAATTTGTTTTTCAATTTTTATGAGCTGAAATGTGATTCATGTTTGTTTGTAACACAAAAAGGAGATAGTTGAATACTTGAAGCATGTTTGTTTATATTGATTTGATGGATGCATTTAATTGCTTAAAACCTATATTAGTCGTTGACGCTGGAGAATGCATTTTTAGGGTGATTGTTTTATTACAACGCACTGAGTATTTTAAATAATAATAAAATTTTTTTATTTTTATTTATGTTAAACATAATGTAATGATATGAGATATGAGTAATGACATAAGATAAGAAGTAACTTAAATAAATTACTTTTGATTTTATTATAGTTTAGGGAAATTAATTGATTCTTTAATGAAAATCAATATGATGGTCTCTAATTTCATGTGAAATTGAAAATTGGGTTATTGCAAAAATAACATAAAACGACACAAGCAGCTTCGTCAATAAGAAATTGACCATCGGATTCTCCTATGGGATATTATAATACGTTGCCATGTGAAAATGACAAATTAGCCCTCATCATTATTGTTTCAATTTTAATTTTAAACAGAAATCTAAATTGAATTCCAAGCCCAAATTAAATTAAAGCCCTAAACTAAATTAAAGTCCATACAGCCCAATTTCTTTTAGGCTTGTTTATTACGCTATGAGTATGAGAGAGGCACAAATAAAATAATAGTAAAAAAAACGAATTTATTTAATGTCAAAAAAGTAAACAAAACACAACAAAAGGTTACGAGTTATGAGGTTGCTGGCACACTGTTACAAAAGTGAGGGGAGATTTAATCTCCCTTAAATCCTAGAACTCAAAATTTCTGTGTCCTCTCTTGTGATCTCATCATTACAAACATTATAGTTATTTATCAATTCAACCATCGGATTGATGGTCTCTATTAGCAGTTTTAATGTATAGCAAATCGATTTCATTTATATGTCAATCTTAATAGCATTCCAAGTGTTGGTGGTCCCTATTAATAATCCAAATTTTTGGTATATTTTATTGAATTTGCATTATAAATATTGGTTAAAATATTTTATTGCAAAATGTTTTGTTTTTTTAAAACTTAACAATTCATTAATAATGAATATAAATGGATTATGTCATAATATTCTTATAAAAATAAAAAATATAAATATGAAAAATTAAAATCTTCTATTTTGGAAAATTTTCTAATCTTTGACAAAAAAATATTAATATTTCAGATAAAAATTGATGCATTTTCGAACAGCACTATAAAAAAGACCGAAAAAATCTTCCTTAAACCAAAATTCTAAGCTTAGTTAGCTACTTTCTCGGTTCCTTACACAAAATGGGTTAAGGCTCTTTTGTCTATTGGAATGGAAATGCGACAGGTCACTTGAGACAGTTAAAGGTTGGCTCCCTCCCAAATAATTTTTTTTTTCATCATTATTTCCGCAATCTGTTGTTGGGATTATAACCCGAGTGGAGTCCGCAGAAAAATGCTTCAATAATTATGTATTGGATATTGACGATCGAATCCACCAGAAATAATAACTACGGTAAAAATTAAATAATTACCATAAATGTCAGATGAAAAATAAGAACACTGAGATTTACGTGGTTCACCCTTCAACTGTTATGGGCTACGTCCACAGGACAAAAACTCTGAATAATTTTTCTACTAAAAATAGTAGGTACAAAAAAAAAAAATTACAAAAATAGTGGCACTCTAAGTGTTTCCCAAAAAACACCCCAAAAAATTACAATCCTCACTATTTTCTCTCTTTTTCATAGTGGCACTCTAAGTGTTTCCCAAAAAACACCCCAAAAAATTACAATCCTCACTATTTTCTCTCTTTTTCAATTTTAGGAACCCCTTCCTAAAATTGCCTATACACTTTATGTATTTCTATTCGTTTTTGTTTTTATACATTGTTTAGGAAAATAGGAGAAGGGGACGCGTCATTAACGCGTCCACCGAATGGATGCGTTAATCACGCGTCCAAAAATTTCAACAATTTCCCTTTTTTTTCTTCTTCATTCAAAGTGTGTGGGTCCCACACGTTTTAACCTCTTTTTCTTTTTTTTTCTTTAAAAAAAAACGTGCCCTTTCTTTTTTTTTTCTTTTCTTTTCTTTTCAAATGTGTGTGGGTCCCAAATGTTGGAGGGACCTCCAACAATTCTCCCCCTCCCGACTATATGGTGGGACTCTCCATTCCTGCCGTTTTGACACATAGTTCGAACTTCTCCTTCGGAACGACCTTTGTCAGTATATCTGCAGCATTTCTGTCTGTGTGGATTTTTCACAACTGAAACTGCTTCTCTTCAATGGCAAGTCTAAGCCAATGATATCTTACATCAATATGCTTCGTTCGTGCATGATAAATAGTATGTTTGCTCAAGTCTAACGCACTTTGACTGTCACAATAAACTATGTATTCTTCCTGCTGCACACCCAATTCTTAAAAGAATCGCTTTAACCAAAGCATTTCCTTTCCTGTTTCCGTTGCTGCAACGTACTCTGCTTCAGTCGTTGATAATGAAACACATTTTTGTAATCTTGAATGCCATCCATGAAAAGGCGTCCCTTGAGAATTAAATAGGTACATCCTGATGTAATTTACTTTCATCAAGATCACTGCCATTCTGGCATTCTGTATAGACGCAACAAGTGCAGCCTTTTCACCTCCAAATAATAAAACTATAAAGTTGAAGTTCCTCCTCAGGTCTCTGAAGACCACTCACCATTGCGTTCCCAATGTGTTCTGGGGAATTTGGATAAAATCGGGACTTCACATACGCCAACCTGCATGACGCGATATCTGTCTTGTACTTCAGCACCATTGTCGTACATCAAAACGTTTCGACCGGCTGAAGAAGATATGAACATTTGACATATCCCTTTTTATATCTCCGTGATGGTTAGATTTCTTACTCAACTTGAAGTGAGTGGCAAAGATGAGTGCTAACTATTATTACCAATTCTTCATATTGAACCTCTCTAAGAGACTCGTTCAATATAATTTTTTTTCTAGCGAGTAACCATAACCTGCAGTGACCTTTCTATCTCGAAATAATCTCCCCATATGCCGCGAGAATTCGCCTTGCCGATCCAAATCTTCATGTCAAATGCTATTTGACAAATCACTCTTTAACTTGCTAATCATCGGTGCATTCTGTCCAACGATTAGCATATCATCAACATGTAAAGAAGGAATGAAATAAATTTAACCAATCAGGGAGAATTTTCTGGACATATACACAAGGAACATATACACAAGGATTTGCATCTGTCCTTTTGTAGCCTTGATTCACCATGAAAGAATCAAACTTTTTATACCATTGTCGCGGCGCTTGTTTCAACTCGTTCAAGCTCTTCTTCAAGCGATAAACCATGTCCTCTTTTCCCTTGACCTTGAAACTTTCTGGTTGTTCCATATAGATTTTTTCCTCTAGATCCCCATGCAAGAATGCGGTCTTTACTTCAAGCTGCTCCAACTTAAGATTCAAACTGGCTACTAGACCTAGCACCACTCGAATTGAACTCATTTTCACAACTGGTAAAAAAATCTCATCAAAGTCAATACCTTTCTTTTGATTAAAGCCTTTGACGACCAATCGAGCTTTGTATCTCACTAGGTTGCCATCATCTTTCTTCAGCTTGTACACCCATTTGTTCTTAAGTGTTCTCTTCCCTTTTTGGAGTTTCACCAGCTCATACGTGTCATTCTTTTTCAAAGAATTCATCTCCTCTTGCATGGCCTTTGTCCAGCAATCTTTGTCTTTGCAAGATTGCACATACTGCACACTTAAACTCTTCGTGTTCCCCTGCATTCAAGTAAATCAAAATAGTAATCAGAACTAGGTACCATTCATGAGATGGTTGTTGTGTCTCTGGGTTGACCCTTTCTTTACTGAGGTTCAAATCGTCATTCTGGCTAGGATGGGGTTTCTGGCTCCCCCACTCAACACACTCTGCATCACTATTAATCATTTACAATTGTCTCTTGATCCCCTACAACTGCTCTTATGTTTTCTTCTCGTTTCTGATTACTGGCATTCCTCCTCACTGTGGCATCATCTGTTAGGAATGCTGTCCTGGTGTATATCACAACATCATCAACTTGTGGATCTCAAACAAGTTGTATCTGCACACGATCTCAACTTCTCGTGGAATACCCTATGTCCTCGGGCTCCGGAACAAACTTTCTTTTTTCACTGGGTCCCACAACCTATAGCCAAACTCTTCGTCTCCAATAACCAACTAAAAGTGCAAGAAACTGACTTGTCATCCAAGCTTTGATCTCTGCTCTTCAGAATGCATAAATGCCTTGCAGCGCGAAATACTCTCACAGGTGAAGAGTATGAAATATAATCTACCTGATCCAGACCTTCTCCAGATATACAAAATTCCAAGTGGCTGAAGGTAGTCAGTTGATAACGGTAGACAGGAAGTATGTGAACAGCTTCTCCCAAAAATGGTTAGGTAAGTGGCCATTTTGAGCATGATCTGACTCTCTCACAATGGCTGATTAGCAATGTATTCTTTCAGTGCACCACCCATATGTCTGAGCGTGCGTAACAGGCTTACTGTCTTTTCCATGCCTGATACCGTGCCTGACTAACCAATAATCTCTAAAACCATTAGAGATGTATTACAATAATCTCTAAACTCCTTAGAGATGTATTCACCACCATTATCCGTGCGCAAACACTTCAATGCCACTCCAGTCTCCCTTTCCACCATCGCATGGGAATTGCTGAAAGTGCTTGAATACTTGGTCTTTTGTGCGCAACAAATATATCAATGTTTTTCGCGAGAAATCATCAATGAAGGTTAGAAAATACCTACTTCCTCCAAGTGATTCTACCTAC